TTCATGTTGGACGGACTACGAAGTGCTACCAGGTGTAACGGGACACCCTTTGTATGGGGTGCCGCGAAAACTTCACGTACACTGGTACGTGCAGAGGAAGCTAATCTACTTGAACGACTCGGTCAAGTAAAGGTAAAAAGAGAACCGTATTGAATATAGTGAAGCTATCAATTTAACTTTAATCTTATTCTAACTATAATTAACTGCGCCGTCGTATGACGAGAACCTGCTCACCACCCATTGCGCGCGTCTAGCAGCGATTGGTGGTAATCTATGGTTGATATGTCTTATGTCAACCAATCTTTGAGCAGCGAATGAATATTATCCAAAAGGAGATACTGTTCCTTCAAAATTATCCATCCCGGATAATATTGGTAGAATATTGTCATGCTAGACAATATTCCAATTGACACCGTTTGATGTCAATTTCATGTAACAGGCTACCCCGTTTCATCATCCCCCCTTAACCATCAATCACCCGTTGATTGAGTTAGAATTGATTGGGACAGTGTGACCACCGTTGGAAAAGGGAGCACTTGTTGGTCAAATCGCATTCATTTGCCAATCCAAGACATGGTTTTAAAAAATTACGCGAGCTGCTACTGCAGCTGCAAGAAGAGCGGCTGACGCATGCATGCGGCCGCGGAAAGTGCCTCTCACACCTCGGCAGCAGGCGATTCATCGCCTGTTGTCGTGAATCCTCCACGTGGTGAGTCACCACGTGCGACCAGCACATCCGCTGCGCCTGCAGCGGGTACTGCGAGTCGTAATCAGGACGAGTCTGAGATAGAGATCATCGTTATTGGCGAGTCGGATGATGCATGTGACTCGTATGGTGTGTTTACCCACGATGCAGCCAAGAAGTGGTATTACGTTCGCTGCGAATACACACTTTTTGAGGTTCGCGAATAACTTGTGCTCTCTTATTAGTGCAAGAACCTTACGAACGTGGATTCTTTGAACCTCCACGTAGTCTTTCCATCCATAGCCCGGCTATGGACGAAGACATCGTCGAAGTAACTCGGTGCGAAGTCGCGCACCGATCGCAACAGATTCGTAACACATCTGTTAAACGTTGTGGGGGCGTTACTTAGCCCCTGTGGCATCACTAGCCACTTCCAGAGCATACCACGGGCGTGATAACTGCTGTGTACGGGATTTCCCGTTCATGCATGAGGCTCTGATAGAATCCATCCATCAAATCCGTGGTTGAAAGATGGTACTCTTTGCCATACCATCTATGATAACATCCTTTCTTGGATCGGCGCTTGAGTTGGTACCGTTGCAGCGTTCAGTCTGTTAAACGCGTGCATTGTCCGCCACCCTTCTGTGGCCTTTCGCACACAGAAGGTCGGATAGCTGTGTGGGGATGTTGATTCCCTCACTTGACCAGCCGCTGAACGAACGGCAAAGCATTTTTCGATAGCTGTGACCTGTACACGAGGTAGTGGCCACTGCTTCATGACACAGTAGTTCGATGCAGGTTTCAGTTCGACCTCAAGCCGAGTCCCTTTGTCATTGGGTAGCTCGCATGGCACGGATCCCGGGGAAACATCCCTCCATTTAACCGAATCCTTATACAAAGGATTTGTCTTTAGAGACTCCCAAGATTGAGACATGTATCGCTCAATCCGAGTCTTCTCATCGAGGACACTCTCGTCCATAGATGAGCTACTGAGAACCCGTTCGTCTTCAGCAAACACTTGTGCCGACCGAATATCGGCGACGTCCTCGTCTTCTGTGACGAGTGCGCAGATCTGCTTGATCTTGTCACTACGCAGATCTTGCAAGAATTTTTAGATTCTAGCGTTGGCAACTTGACCACCTCCGGCGCTGACTTCGAGGGTGTAACCAGATCAAGTGTATAAGCGCCTACACTTGATCAGTCATTCACCAAAACATTCACTATCTCGGTGATGTCCTGGGAAGACACATCCGCAGGTGGTTGGGGATCCACACCCTCAACATAACTATCTCGGGAGTAATTGCTCCCAGGAACGCCGGAACTTTCTTCCAATACGTGATCTGATTGTGGGTGTACTACCACAGTCACCTCCTCTAAAAACGACTCTATAATAGTTGATTTCGCTTTAACGTGTTGTTCATCCAATACAACACAGATCTATTTTCTTGGATGCACCCTTCTTGGTGTGCATCCGCGTTCCAGTCCACTCTGTCTCTTTGAGTGGTAAACCTTCGGCGCAGCCTGCGTCTCTACACAGGTGCCGGAAGCTGGTTCCACAGTGTAGTGGCCTTCTGCACTGTGATCTTGTGCAGTCATACTAATACGTACCACAAGTGAGGCCATCGCACTCACTCGTAGTACATCCACACGCCTGTGGACGCTCCAAGACGTTCATCAGACGGCCACCCTATGAACAAACGGCAGGCATCTTCAAGGATCGATGCTGCCAGCTAATCCATCGCCGGTACTTTCTAAGCCATGGCAGACCGAGCATGAAATCAAATTTCTCATCCGAATCTAGTACGATGAAGTTATCGTCGTACTGCTTTCCTTCTAGCGTGTAGTGGGAATCCACTACACGTTTGTTCATTGTTGCGGACGCGCCTGTAGCAAGGCACACCGACATCCTCGTTGCAGGGATCTCTCGCTCAACATAGTTGGGCCTACTATCCCTTAGCGACTGGCGTCGAATAAGACTTCTCGACGCCCCACAGTCAACTAGGGCGCGAAGTGACATTCCACATGTCACACCGATCTTTAAAAGGATGAGTGACACCTCAACACTAGGGGCAGTAACACACAGCGTCTGTGTGCTGGGAGCAATCTTCGATAAGAGTCCTGCAAATCCACTTGAAGTTGCTGGATTAGCAGGGTGCTCCGCCCCTACTGACCCTGACCGTTTTTTGACGGTCCGACTTGCTGTCGCGGCTTAGCGAAATAATCGGACCCACGCCTCGGACCCTTCCTTGGCCAAAGGTGGTCATCACGTCCTGTCTTTGGACGCGTTGCAGTGCTCGGGACACTACACTCATGAGCGTAGTGTCCAATCTTTTGAAAGCGATGGCATCTTGCCGTTCGCTTGTGACTCAAAGAGCGAGAGTTCTCGATCTCGATGTAACAGAGGTCCATTGGTTCGGGACCTCCTGTTTCCTGTCGTTTAGTCGGACGATAGTTTGACGAGATAGTCTGAGACTGTCTCAGGTTGAAGTCTTATTGTTGTGCACACACTATCGCCTTTTCCAGCGTATGGAAGTCCTCTCGGAACATATAGGTCTTTACCAATCCATCTACAAGGCTGTAGATGAGCACGTTGATGAGCGTGTGCTCATCAACAGAGTTCTCTGTAACGCTACTCGCAAGGTAGCGCAGGTGCTGTGCTTAAGCGTGCACGTCGAGCTTACCTTGCTTGAGCCTCAAGATTGCAGAGCGTGCTCTGAACTCGGCTCTCGGCGGCTCAAACTTCTCTTTAAGCCGAGACTTCAACATCTCCAACGACTCAAACACGTTTGGGTCTTGAAGCTTGAGCCCTAAGTCCCAAATCTTTGCTCGTCCCGTCAAATTTGACAGGGCGAAGGTGACTTGCATCTCGTAACCCTCGATGTGATGGGCCCTGATCGCATCGTCTAACTCGACGAACCATCTCTTAAGAGAATCTTCATCGGTTACCTTGTACCTTGAAATATCAATCTTCAAGGTTTCGGCTCTACGCATGTGCGTCGGCCCGGCCATCGACTGATGAGAGCCTTGATGTTGTAGCAAGGCTATCTTCTGTATTTCGATGGCGAGTTCTCCTTGTATAAACTTGTTGATAGCATCATGTTGCTGGTCTCTGCTTAGAGACTCCAACATACCACTGATGGCGGGTTCGCCCGTGATCACACTCATGCGGCCGACTACCTCCCATTCTGAGTCCTCAGATGGAAGTAGCCTTCACGTATGACGTGAAAGCTGTCGTCTTCTGCGTCCAACATGTTCATGTTGGACGGACTACGAAGTGCTACCAGGTGTAACGGGACACCCTTTGTATGGGGTGCCGCGAAAACTTCACGTACACTGGTACGTGCAGAGGAAGCTAATCTACTTGAACGACTCGGTCAAGTACCTGCTCACCACCCATTGCGCGCGTCTAGCAGCGATTGGTGGTAATCTATGGTTGATATGTCTTATGTCAACCAATCTTTGAGCAGCGAATGAATATTATCCAAAAGGAGATACTGTTCCTTCAAAATTATCCATCCCGGATAATATTGGTAGAATATTGTCATGCTAAACAATAATTCAATTGACACCGTTTGGTGTCAAGTTCATGTAACGGGCTACCCCGTTACAAGGACTGTGCTTAACATGTCAAGATCGATGGTGTTCGTCTGCAGCGTGCCTACGTACTTCTGGGGAGACGCCGTAGAGTTCGCGATGTACACCCTGAATAGGACTCGAACATGCGCGAACATAGAGCACACTTCGCCGTACGAGGTGATCACCAATATGAATTCAGACTAACAGGACATCGTCGTGTTCGGATCGACGTGCGACAGGAAACAGGACACGGGCAAGAACTCGCTCGCGCAGCAGTCTAAAGAGGACTAGATCGTCAGGCGCACCTAGAAGACGAAGGGGTACCGAGTGAAACTTTTAAGGATCAATGTCGATTTCATGACGGATTGTGTTAAAAAAACGTGACGATCTCGGCGGACTAAAAGAAGAGACTGCTGCGCAGCGTCACCGATCCTATCGCGGGAGGTGACATAGAGATCACGACGAGCACGCGCGCATCATCCGGACAAGCTCAGCAAGCCACTGAGGAAAAGTCAGCGATAGCTGAGGATAGCAGCGCGACCTCACGGCCGCAGGAAAAGTAGAAGCAGTGGCAGTGGCAGCCGAACGCGACGTGGAGTGCTGCAAAGCGTGCAGAGGAAACAGCGCAGATTCAGGAGCCATTAGTGATTTGGCCATGGACAATCTCGCGTACAAGTAGAACCCGAACAACTATGATGAATTTCTATGCAGATAGAAGCGCTTTGAGTGGGAAGTCGCGATGCGTGAAGAGGTCAGAGCGCTCCAGGACAACGGCGTCTGGCGTGCGGCAAAGAGAAGTGAGATTATTAATCCGCTGCACTCAAAATTAGTCGAAAAGACTAAGACTGGTGCTGATGACGAGATGGAGCAACGCAAGTACCGTCTCGTTGCGTGCGTCAAAGAACAGGTGCTGGAGGTGGCCTACAACATTACCTTCGTAGCGGCGATGAATATGACCGCAGTCAAGGTCGTGCTGGCGCTTGCTGAAACCTGGGGCGTCCCAGTCAAATACGGCAACATCACGAACGCGTATGTAATGGTGGACAAGGAAGTGCACCTTGACATCTGCTTGCCTGTGTTAAGGTGGGACGGACGTGTTAGGCAACACACTGCCCGATCTCGGCGCCGATAGCTTAGGCGCCGTTAACCTCGAGCTTCACAAGAGTCTGTACGGCTTGATATTAGCTGAACGCCTCTTATGTTGGCTGCTTCATGCGCGGATCACGGACGCCGGGTTCGTGCGATGCGTCACCGACATGAGCTTGCGAATTTGTCGGGACTACGACGAGCTCGTCGTCGGCGGCATTTACGTCGATGACTTGATGACGGCAGGGACAAGCGCCGCGGCAGTGCAATGGATATTTGAAGTTAATTACTTGCAGATTATACACTTGGGTCGCGTGCACAAGGTACTAGGCATACGTAGAAAGCTTTCCAACGATGGCGGCTACCACATTGACTAAGAAGAATCCATCCAAGAGCTTCTGCGTGCACACGGCATGACATAGGCCAACGCGACGAAGACACTGATCGGCGAAGATTATAACGAAGTACTTGATGAAGAATCCATGCTCAAAACAACGAATGAAAGCGACGCTCTGTCAAAGTGTTACAGTTGCTTGTCGGGAGTCTGCTTTGGGTCGCAAGCTGCACACGGCCTAAATTGGCGTTGACGTACACAAGGCGACCAGACAGACGCATGCGCCACGCATGCACAAGTGGAAAAGCTGGCCAAGAGAATTAAACGGTACCTCAAGGACACAGCAGTACTTCAACTCAACATGAAGTCGGCGCGAACGAGTCGCAACGCGCTAGATCTGGTAGCATGCAGCCACACCGACTTCATGGTCGTCAAGGTCGACCGCAAGTCGCTCACAGGAGGGATTTTACTATTTAACGACATGGCGGTGTCTTAGTCCGCAAAAAATCAAAGCAGCGTGGCACTATCAAGAAAGGATGCCAGATTAGTTGCTGCAAGTGACGTCGCGCGCAAGCATTGGCCACGGGATATGCTGATGGAGATTGGCACGGCTCCGGTTGTCGTAATGCTTATGCACGACGACAACCAAATTCTATTAGCCAGATCGAAGGCGAGGCATCAACAGGCAAAGCAACGAACATCGACGTACAGCACAAGTTTGTCGGGGACTACGCGCGCCACGGCATCGTTCGGGTACAGCACATCCTTTCTAGCTTGTGATCGCAGACTTATTGACAAAAACTCGGACGCTATCAAGTGCGCGACAATACGCGGCCTGATGATTCTGGCGTAGAAACTACTGTATCTTAAAGATGAAGGGTTCGTTGATGAAGTACGAGCGAAATCGATGGCGCATTGTAAAGCGCAAGCGACTGGAACGGCGTTGCCCATGGATGAAGACCGTGTGACGGTGACGACGAAGCAGATCAAGAATGAAGCGCGAGCGACGGTGACGGCGGCCCAGCTCAAAGTCGAAGAGCGTGCGATGGATTCGGTGCAACTCTTAGGACGAGGGCGAGCGACACCGTTAATGCAGCGCAACGCGCGTTAAGTGGAGTTGCGTGTCCACCAGTCATGAGGAGGAGTGTTAAAAATAGACAAATGGCATTTTCGGGTGCGTAAGCGCGCCGGTTCGTGTTCACGAGTCACCACATTTTTGTGTAGAAAGAAATTAGATCGATGCGTTTGAGTGGCTAGCAGCAGATCTGGAAAGTGAGTGGCAGCTAGAGATATTCGATAGCTAGAGCACCAGCAGCAATCGAAGATTAATATCAGTACGTAATCTGTTCAACCTTCCGACACTCAAGCGCAAGCCATTCGAACACCTCGTGCCCAACATGCCCACCGATCGCAGCTCTAACACGCTCTAATAGCCACCTCATGTCATCAGCTTGAGTGGGCGTGAATGCCCAGTTTTGGCCTCAGCTAGGCACAGGTGCGTCTATACTCGTCTGAACAGTTATTTATCAATCAGACGATCACTGCTATTTGTTTTTAAAAAATATAAGGCGGTTGCTCCCGAAATAAAGTCATGCCCGTCCGTAATTTAATCATTTTTTAAATATAAGAATGAAGTGCCATGCAGCGTTAAAAGCTCAAATCACCCTGTTCTTACGGCTCGATCTTCAATTCGGTGAGATTTTGCGGCTGTTTGACGTGCACACACCTCAAAATTAACTACCTGAACGATTTTCGCTCACACTCGCAATGCTCCTGAACCTCACACCGCTTTCAACGAACACTTTTCACACAATTTGTACGAACGCGCTGTCATCCCCCGAACATTTATTCAGTTTATTGCTTACGATCCAAACAAACTTTGAGTAAACATACTATGAGTCGCCGCTATTCCTCCGATAAAGACCGTCGTCGCTCCAAAGATGCCTACAAACCACCCAATATTACGTCAACTGTATCGATTCCTAGTGTGTCAGTGCAACAGGAGCCAATCCGTGGAGAATGTCACGCGTTTTGTCCCGTCAATGAAGAACTGGAACGCCGTCAGACTCAAGAACTCAGTCGCTTCGAGTGTCCAACTGAAAAGCTCCCAACACTCGTGGCTGTGAAGAAATACCGTCGAGCTGCTGCAGGTCGAGACGTCTTAAATGCATCAGAACTGAGACCAGCCCCTGTGCTGCTGCGCACACTGCGCCACTTGTTCACGACCGTGCTGAAGTGGCCGCAAAGTGGCTTCAACAGTGGTCCGACTACCAAAGACACGACTTCGCGGCCACTGCAGGCTCGCTCGGACGAGTTTTTAGCAGTTTACTACTTTGTCAATGACCGGGTACGCAGTGTCCGGCAGGACTTTACCGTGCAGGTGCGTGGTGGAGGTTGAGATCGACAATAAAATCTGGTATCGATGCTAGATGAGAATTGTAACTTGGCGTTGTTGTTGACGTCTGATGTTGCTACTTTCTACTGCTATTGGTAGAGAATTGAGGGTGCGTCATTGGTGATCGCATTGCAACAAGCTGCACGGTTCTATCTGGTGGCGAAACTGCTGTCAGTGCAGTTGTTAGGAAATAAAAAGAGTGCACAGGACTGGAGTGACAAGCTGAACGATGAGCAGCTAAGGTCAGCTCTTTCGCAGCTTCAGGCGCTGTATGGTCAACCCAAGCTGAATAAGTTTGATCTCGCGGTGGTTCCTGAGCTAATGGATTCGGGAGAATTTGTTGCATACGACGTGCTATTGCACATCAGCGAGCCTCAAGACGTGGCCTGCATGTTGCGTAGTCTCTCGTCGAAAATACGTGGCTTGCCAATGGTGCAGCGCGCGCTTCGAGCGTTTGTGGCATATCAGACGGATGACTTTCTGGCGTTTTTTGTCGAGTTCAATACCATGACAGTGCTAGAACGAGCTGCATTGCTGCATCATCTTTCACGGGTATGGACGCACAGTCTGCGAATGATCAACAAAGCATTTGGTAAGCAGGATCGTTTCCCGCTCGAAACACTTGCACACTGGATGAACCTGGTTGGCCCGCACAGCACGAGCAACGGTATCGAACTAGTGGCGACCTTGTGTAACGCAATGAACATCCAGATGCAGCGCCAACCGCCAGAGTCATCACCACCTCGAAATGGTGCTGGCAATGTGGCTGATTCTTGGGAAAATATTGATCGACTTGCCGATCAAGGTGTGTTGCTGTCGGAATCAGAGCATTCGTTTGTTGAGTTTGCAACGTTTAACGTCGCGCCACTGCACGACCAGCTTGACTCCAATACTGTGAAGCTGCTACTTCGAAACGTCGCTCTTGAAATGGTAAATGTCATTTCTGATACGGATTCTATAATGACGGCAACACAGTGGATAATGGGAACAGCTTATGGCGCGAGGCAAATTGTTGATACTCCGAGCGCCTAGACATTGCGTGCAATTATAGCGTCGTGCCACTCATGTACCATGCTCATCGGACCATTTCACATTGCAAAGTTCAGCAAAAAGTTTCGAGAGAGCGCCAGCGCGCACGGGGGTAGCTTCATTCAAGTTGTTGGTGCTTTTTGAGCCTTAGACTGCTGCAAAAAGGTGTATTGCTTGACATTCTGTGGCTGCTCATCAGCAAATGGATCATCTTTGTATTCTCGGATGTCAGATAGCCTTTTTGCGTTTTCTTTGACGGCACAACAACTATTGAACCCAGGATGTTGTCATAGGTAAATGCTCAAGAAGTCAGTACCTATATACTCGACTGTAACAAGCGTAGTGCTATATTCCTCTTTCACGATGACCAAAGGATATCTTAAAAAGTCAACATGATCTTTAATTGCACTTGTGATTGTTTTACATGCAGAATATGATGCTATACCATCTACGATGCTAAGACAAGATTAAACTGATTGTGCTTTTCGCATGGTTGACAAAGAGCACGTAGCCAACAATTGGGCTGTTGCAAAAATCACACTTCATGATATAGTCACGTCGCAATCAAACACCGGGTCAACACATCGCACCATATGACAGCTATCGATAGTGGACTATGAACCACTTCGTACCAAGCGTCATTTCCAGTACTGTGGGCAAGATGCGTGTTGCGAGAAGGAAGCGTTAGGTGAACAATAAGATATTGTTGTATTTCCTTACTAGTTCTCTCTTCTCCGCCATGCTCGCCAAAGCCCTCTGCTCCAGTCATCCAGTAACATCATGTTTCCAAATAAACCCCAAGCCACCGGCCCAACACTCCGATCGCCGTTACGTACCCTTGCACCCATTTCCAACATTCCAACAAGTACGAACAATCATTAAAAATGTCAGTGGCGATGTATGGTCTCTTCGGTCGACTGAGGCCACGATAAGTTGTTGCAATGTCATAAAAGGCAGAGAGAGCATTCGAAAAGTATCTACCAATAATTTTTGGGTATTTTGTAAGATGTGATACAAAATTATGCAACGAACTGATGCGATTTACCCCGGTCTTCAGCTATTTATCATGATCTAAGGCTATTTTTTTTTTGCATCGCGAGCAATACTAGCATAAATTTCAAAATTTAACTTTGAGTTATCCTCATTCTCTCTCGATAAAATTCTAACTCCAGTGATTTAAGTTTCGTTATTTCCCTTTCGAAAAAGCACGCAACAAGCAACATTCCGTCGACTGTAATGCTAAGAAATGTATCATCACGGATGTTTCGTTCGGGTTACTTTTTAAATGCGTGAATGCCTTCTCAAATAATGACACTTAGACGATTGGAATCATTTTTTACAACATCAAACTCAGGCCTGTGACTTCGATCATTCGATTCGGCAATGTAGGAGGGAAGCTGACCATTTCGCTCAGTACCCCCTCTAAAACAATCAACCTTTGTCTACAGCGTTGATGCGGTTCAAGTAACTGGCAAGAATTCCTTCGTTCCTCAACTTCACCCGAATCATAGTAGGAGTCACCTTCTGGCCAAAGATCATGGCCATCTCTCGGACTGCAGAATTCGTAGCAAATTGCTTATCCATCGCGCGCCGTTGATATTCTTTGATAGATTCGGAAACCTAGCAAGAGTGTGGTGAAAACCGTGTCGTGGACCGAACGTGTGCAGACAAAAATTGTTCAACAAAAAGACAGTTATCTTGTGTGCACTCGGCTTTTATTTAGTATCGACCATCACTTTTTACAATGCGGAACAGACGCGTGAATTTTCCAATGTTTGACGATGGCCTGTGTTAGGTCACTCTTGCTCGATTATCCCCAATCATCAAAGAAGCTGCAAGGTAGGTACTGCTCGTCGTCGCTTTCCATTGCTATTTGGCAAGCCCTATATCAAAAAGCATATATATCCACTATTAGACCAGCAGAGGTAAGCCCTCAATGAAAGCTGCCATCAATTACCACGACTCAGCAGGATTCGACCGAACGAGGTTATGCATTGCTGATAATCAATACCGTAACAAACGTAAAGGATGGCTTCATTGTGGAATTATGATATGGTTAATATTCTTTGAGTAAAGTAGCTAATGATCTGGAAGGAAACTGCGTTCCCACAACTAAAACCACAACATCAATATTAGCAGTAGAAGCATCATCGGCAGTAGCTGCAGCATCAGCAGTAGCAGCAACAACTAACTACAAAAAATTGAAACGCAAAAATAATTCCAACTCAAGCGGCAGTACCATCCATAGCAAGTGAGCACCTACTGCGACAACAACAGCAGCAGCAACAGTTGCGGCAGCATCAACAGTAGTAGCAACAGTTGCGGAAGCTGTAGCAATGAAAAATGCAGCAACAGAAACAGCAGTTATGGTTATACATTTTAAAACGACAACAGTAATTACATGAGAAACAACTACAACAAATCAATTACATCAATAGGCACCGACAGTATGTGTTACGACCGCGTACGATGATAGTAACGCGCGTTCACTCCATCCCTTTGTCGTCCGCGTGTCAAGGAGTGGATACGGGCTCAGTACGCGCGTTCACGTCATCCTTTTGCCGTCCGCGTGCTCAAGCAGTGGCCTCGGGCGCAGTATGCGCGCGTGCAGAACTCTATCCAGGGCTGATCCTACGAAGCGGTGGTCGAGCTTGGCCGTAAAATTATGAATGATAAATGACTGGAGATGTGTGTTTGTATGTGTACCAAGTCAACATGAGTAAATTAGGACGTTGTACATTTTAATTTTCCAATTTTTCTGTGGCATCTATTTAATTTCGTGATTAAGTGGACATTGTTATTGAATTTTGAATTTGCCACCATTAGCATACAGCGTAATCGATCTTCGTATCACACCAAAATCACGAAAGCTGACGAAAGCGACTGAATAAATCGTTAGTCGATGGAAAACTAACTGCATGACGAGGCGGTAAATTTAGATTCCCGTACGAATATTTGAGTCTAATTAGTGCCCCAGCTTCTCATCGAAGCGTTAACATCTTTTACTGCTTCTTCATAACTTTACGTGACCTCGGATCGATCGTGGCAGGCTACTGGACGACGGCCGAATACGGGCTAAGAATAACAACTACTGCTCCTTCCGCCAACAGGCCGGTATACTACCTTGAATGTTCTTATCATCTCTTATCTTGTCATCAACCATGATCAAGTGAGTCTAGCCCTATGCTTGATGAAGGGAATCGTGGAAGCTGCAATACTCCCTCCAACGGTATGTCTCATGACTTAAACTACCTCGTGATGCACGCGCTTGGCACGGCCCACGTCAATCCATCTGGTTACAGCGCTAAGGTTGATCTTCACTTCGACAATTCGCTTCGGACTGTGTCGGGCATCGACGACACTACTCATATAGTTCATCTAGCACATCTCAGCCTCATCGTTCCAGTTTTCTTGTCTTCTATATATTTTTGGGGTGCCAATGTTTGCACCTATGCCGTCTCTGCATAACACAGGGATTACGTATCGAGGCAGAAGTTTATCAGAGCTAAAAAATGTCGATTGCTTTTGTCGGTTTAAGATCACCAAAAGCAAACTTAACGAGGGTATAGACTCAAGACTTACTGTAACATCACAGGTAACAGTCACTCCGTTGATGAGTGTCTACAGCTGATACTTATCATCACTTTTTGACACAGCACACGCAATGTGATTGGCATCTCTTTGATCGATACCATCATCGAACGTAATTTGCTCTAAGGTAGAGCTGGCGTCACCATTGACATCCGATTACTAGTCATTTGACATGACGACGTCATTACGTGAAATACGTGCCACTTCACGTGCATCCACTGAGCGGGGTCGGGATGCCTTGATATTTCACGAACAACGTCAATATTGGCATTGAGCTCGTCGCTTTCACAGCCGACGTCACTCAGTGGGTTCTCACGTACTACTCCACGCTCATCTGATATGTTTAACCCTCGACTACTTGACGCTTGGTCAACACGTAACGTAACAATGCTGACATCATTCAGACGTATCTCTCACAACAACTTTCAATTATCAGAGTACGTGTCGCTTCACTATCACATATCTATCGTTACTCTATGCTCGTGTCTTTAAATTCGTCAGAATGACTGACTCTGACATTCCGACGTCCAGCACAATGACAAATTTAGCCAGTGGATCAAGCCTATAGCGCTTCTAATTCTAAGAAGAGGTGAATCCATGACTCTTTAAGGTTCCGCTGGGGACAGTGAGCATGCCGCCTAATTTTATCGCCCTCCAATCGATTTATGGTTCATGGCGGTCAAGCCAAGCTATACCAAGAATGTGATCATATTTTGAGTCCAAACCAAGGACTGAGCAGCGTGCGATATTATTAAAAATTGAAAAGCTTCACATCTAAGTTCACAGGAACTTTATGTGTAACGACTGAAATTACTGTCGCTGAGTGAACAGTTGACGTATCACCCTTGTGCTCTTCTAAGCATAAATATAATGAGTTACCCTTCAAGGAATTAGCATTAAACATATTTACTGGATGCTCTGGAGTCGATCAAAATGACCAGGGTTTGTCAAAGCCCTTAACAGTCGCCTTTGCGACCAACAAGCATGGCTTTGTATTCACGCCTTATGTTACGGTACACAGGACTCCTTGGGGATAAATTCTGCTTGCCAATACCTCCCCAAGGCTCAACAGAACATAGTTCTTCCCTAACAGGGCGTTACGCGCCTACTGGGAGTCTATGTTTATCTGCACCATACCATACTTATTGTTAGTGGCGAGAGTTCAGCCTGAAGTAGCCTGTCTTGCCCTACGTAAGGAGAAATTAAATCGCAGATGCTTTGTGCTGCCGCACGTGATACATTGTTGTATGTTTCGATTCTGTGCTACAGCTCAAATCTCTATTTTTCGTCCGTATCGGCGAAACTGAGGTTCATTGTATCCGGCCTATTAAATAAAATTAATGAGCTTGCCGAATTTGAGTTGTACCTATGGGTGCTAAAACGGGCCGTCATCAAGTTGAACTCCGCAATCATCGCGACAATCACAGAATTCTCACAGGAGGTAGCTTGTCACATAAAACTTTCGTTGAGACAAGCCCGTACGAAGGCCATCCATGAAGATAATAACCACAATTATTTCTGGTGAGAAACCGAGCTGCATGGCAGCAATTAGTTTTATCAGTTCCTGGTAATAGTTTGATGTTTCTTTCTTGCCCTGACAGACAGATAGGGATCGAGAACGCACTTGTTATGCCTAATTAGGCGAAGCAACACTCGGGATATTAGCGTTTGTTGTTAGCAAATCTTATATGGATAAAGCTTCGTCTATCGACGTGCTATACAAGAGAGCCCATTCAATGGCTCTACTACGCTGTGTTAAGATAGCCATCTTACGTCGCTATTGCTCAAACTGGAGCATAGCGGAGTTCATGGCCATTTCGACCTCTCTGATGCACAGGAGAATATTCTCCCTTTCTTTGTCCTCTTAATGTCTTTACAGTTAAGACACGGGGGTGAGCCCTCGGTTTTTTATCCGGTAGGTAACATACCGAGTAGGCATAGACAATGCTAAATGGTCGTGTACTTGCTTAAATAAAATGGACTCAAACTGCATAAAAGCGTCAAGACGTGCTCGAATCAAGTCAGAACCTTGTGCAATGATTATCCACTTGTTCGTTCCTGACTAGCGCCTTGAGTTCTCAAGCGCTATTTCTTGGGCATCCGAGAGGTTTATCTTCGTTCCATCCTTACAGTGGAATAATCTTTGAGAGATTTAGGTAAAGATGACTACAAGTGCTATCAAGTGTAGCGGAGCTACCCGAACTTCTTAGTCGGAGGAAGACTTCTAGACTAGTAGAGTCCATTAGTATATCGAACGAAACGGGTATAAGCTCAAAGGATCTCAAGTCTTACAGACTTGGTTAGACTTAACTATAAGTGTATGTACAAGCTCTTAAGCTTCTTTTCCTGGTTCAGGTGAATACGACCGCAAGGAATGACGTGACACTAATGTCCAAAAGTATTTAGCCTTAACTTAGGCATTTGACTCTTAGGACCAGAGACGTCTTAGCAAGACACGTGTCTGAAACTGATCATAAGGGGAACTTGGTACATTTACTAATTTGTAGCGAAAATAAACCTTGCCTTCGACTATACCCTTAGAACTATACTACCAAATCCAATATTCCTCATGTCAGTCTTTATTGTGTACCACACCAGAGCTACATCGCCTCTATGAAGACCTTTGCACGATGGATACCCTCTAACTGAAGCCGTTAGGGTACGGTATTACCGCTCAGCGGATGTGATACGATGGCACGCCTAATCAGTGACAATGGTCTCTTTCTGTGTGCGTCATACCAGCGTACCTAGTTATCGCAACCAATTCTGTAAATCCGCTACATTAAGTCCGTAAAGACTTGAGGTCATTTAGGTTTATACCCGTTTAGTTTAACGCACTAAAAGATCTCTACTAATATATTAGTCTTCCATTGACAAAGAAGTTCGGTTAGCTTCGCTACATTGTCCTCTCCACCGTTAATGGCACTCCTTGGTATTTCTACGCCTTTTTTCTAACGGATGACCAGTTTTCGGAAAGCGATACTATTTTGTACGAAATACGTCAACGACCTAACAACGCACTCGTCAAAACAGCAAGAAGCAATACTCACCGAGTGCAAACTGCGGTTCGATTACATTTTATGCCGTCCTGAATGCTCTAGCTCTGTATAAATGTCGACCGTCAGCTTCCAGGACTTGTTCTACACAATACCTCGTTATCACCGCGAATCTCCTTTAAATCAGTCATTCGTACCTCGTATTTAGAAATGCGGTGAACTGCATTATTCAACCGAACAATTCACCCGCGCGTCTCATTCCGCGATCTTCTCCAGCTCAAACACAGCGATGGCTCGTCCCGTCGACGAGATCACGCCGCTGCTCACCAGTGACGACAAAAGCGGCAAGCCTCGTCTTGACCGCCACCGCAGTGTGTGGAAATCCTTTGTGCTGATGGGGGCGCTGAGTCTCGGCGTCTGGACCCTCGCGCGGCAGCAAACTCGATCTCCCACTGACATTGTCGACGCCACAGTGTCACTTAATGACAGGGCTAGGGCTGTGGATTATGATGCGGATGACGTGGCATTTCTATCCAGTTTAGAAATGATGAAAAATCCACTCGTCGACCCTTGTGTGGACTTTTACGAGTACGCGTGCGGGGGGTGGCTGAAAACCCATGACATCCCATTGGACCGTCCCAGCATCGACGCGTCCTTTTCGGTCGTCTCGGAGCACAATAAGGACACAATCCAAAACCTTGTTGCGCGCAATCCGCCTCAAATTGGACCCTTGTACCACTCTTGTCTCAATGGCGAGGAGGTGGACGGGCGTGCTATTGCATTTGTCACGCAGCTATTGCATCAGATTCACCGTGCTAACTCTAGTCTGTTTTTGCTGGAGGTAGCCGGTGAAATGGACCAATCTGTTGGTATCAGTACGTTCTTTAGCCTCTCTGTGGGTGCTGACCCACATGATCCGACTATCAACGTCCTTCAGTTGGCCCAAGGCGGACTAACGCTACCATCGAGAGAATACTACTTGGAACAAAGCAAAGTGGATGCTTACGCGGCTTTCTATGTGGACTATGTGGACAAACTGTTCGCAGTGGGAGGTCTGGACCAGCACAATAGCAGCGGGTTTGCAGCAGCAGTGCTAGAAATTGAAACAGCATTTGCTACGTTTTCGATGCCAAATGCAGCACTGCGCGACCCGTGGTCGACTAATGCGGTGTATTCGATTGCGGAGATTGCTCAGAAATACCCCTTTTTGATGGCGTATTTGAATGGGATTCACAAACATGAACCGTTTCCGATGCACAACGCGATCATTGCAACGCCGGACTTCTTTACTGCGCAAAATAAGCTGCTTAGCGATGTATCACTGCTACCGAGGCTGAAGCACTACTTGAGTTTTCACGTGATCGACTCGTTTGGGGCACTTTTGGGTGAGTATTTCCGCCGGGTAAGTCATGGTTTTCATGGCGAAATTCAAGGCGCAGGGGATCTACTTCCCCGCAATCAGTTCTGCTTGCACTTGACAACTGCTCTCCTTGGAAATGAAGTAGGAAAGTATTACATGAATGATGTCTTCGGCCCTGATGCAAAGGCTGCGGCTGAAACGCTGGTGGGAGAGATTGAAGCTTCTCTCAAGGCTCTACTACTGACAGAGTCATGGCTGGATAAAGTCACATATGATGCAGCTGTAAAGAAGTTGGACAAGGTCAAAAATTACATTGGAGGTCCAGATTATGTGCCACCACTGCCATTTAAGCTTCAAGCCGACGCGTTCTTCGACAACGTAAAAAGGTTGATGCAGTTGAGTGCTGCAAAAGCCATAAGCTCGATCGGTAAGCCAGTAGATGAGCAGGCCTGGGGTATGTATCCGTCAACGGTAAACGCCTACTACGACCCAAGCGCAAACAAGATGGTCTTCCCTGCAGCTATCTTGCAGCCTCCATTCTACAGTGCTGAGCATTATCCTGCTGCAGCAAATTTTGCTCGTATTGGAATGGTGATGGGCCACGAACTTTCACATGGGTTTGACGACCAAGGACGAAACTATGACGGCAATGGGGCTCTCCGTTCGTGGTGGACTCCGTCGGTTTCTGCCGAGTTTACCAAAAAGACACAGTGCTTGGCAGCTCAGTACTCAACCTTTCCGGTAGTATCTGCTGAAGACGGACATGTGCTAGGAACAGTGAATGGCAACTTGACGCTGAGTGAAAACATAGCTGACAACGGGGGTATTCGTCTCGCATACGAAGCATATCATCTCTGGAAACGTACGTCTGCACATCCACCGACCGTGCCTTCTTCTAGGGTACTGTCTGGTACTGTCATATCTGAAGCAGCAGTAGCGTTGCCGCTAGACGAGCACAGCGAACAAGGAAGCCGTGTATCTTACCACCATCGTGATGTTAAGAAAGACACTGGCGACCGTCTCACTAGCAAGCATCGTAAGGATCTGGTGGATCGCAAGGAGGGGAGCAAAACTGACCATCCCGGTAATTCAAGCGACTATGCCAATGATGTCAATGGAGACAGCGATCAGCAAGAGCACCGCAAGCATGTTACCGAGGGCGAACGTCATGAAGGGCACAAGATTGGAAACAGAAAGCCTGACCATCACGAGGAAAAGAAGCACCATCATAACGGCAACAGCGGGGTTCGTAGATCAAAAGATCACAAAATACCTCTCCACCATCGTGACGACGATATCAACATGGATCGTGGTTTGGGACACAACGAGAAGAACAGCCACTATCACGAAAAAGAGCGCGAAGAGCAGTCAGACAACTGTGATGACTGCGGACGAAAGAAGCGCGTCCAACACCACGACAAGAGTGAAAGTGACTGGAACAAGAAGAACGTGCGTTACGGATGTGGCAAAGAAGACGGTGATTGTGGTGCAACGCGGACTCTTTCAGATTCTGAACATCCATTTTCTGGAGACGACATGAGGACGCAAAGTATGGTAGAGACGTTGGCGCGTGCGATCGCCCAGCCTGACGACCTTGAGGCAGATGATCGCTTGTTTTTTACAGCGTTTGCTCAAGATTGGTGCGAGAAGCGTACACCTAAATATGCGGAGCTATTGCGGACGATTGACCCTCACTCGCCTGGAAAGTGGCGCGTGAACGGTCCATTGATGAACTACGACAAGTTTGCAGAGACCTTTTCATGCTCCGTGGGAACTCCAATGAACCCAGAAAAGAAGTGCGTCATCTGGTAAGCAGTGTGGTCTAGCGCCATTTTAAAAATTGGGGAAGCAACCAAGTTGAACGAAATACATTGCGGTAAGCAATCTAAGCTTTGATATTTGAATGAGACTGATGTTGCTGCGAACAATTTAATGCTGAACTGGATGTGCGCTGCTCCACTTTTGTTTGCACATCGTACGAATAAACTGCGAAATTTGCTCGAGTCTATCTCAATTTATTCTTTCGATGGTACAATACGAATGTATGACGGTCATGAGAGTACCAGCCCACTTATAAAACACTGAGACACTGTCAGACTGGACTTCGGAAGCGCAGATCAGCGAAGTTAAAGGATGATGCGGTACCGGCCACTTTTTGGCATGATCGCTAAAGATCGAAAGTTGATCGAGTACGAAGCAGCAGCTTTAATTGCGTTCGAACTTTCTTCTTTAACGATAAAATAAGAAGTTCTTCACACTCGATTTATAGCTACTGCTGTACAGTACGCGACTTCGACACTATATTTGCGCTGGACATGTGACTGCTTCACAATAACTCACCTTAGCGGCGCTAAAAATACCTTTTGATCCCTTCATCACATCCCCGAGTAGGTGTGTTCGAGCATGTCCTTGGAGATACACAACAAACACGTTTGCGTTCATGTAACTGCGGATACTCAAAGACATTGGACTTTAATGAAACAGACATCGATTTTGGTTACGTGAAAGGACGTCAAGAAGCAAATGTAAAAGTGAAAAGTTGGTCAATCACTTGGCGCTTTGCGGATATTCGCTATCTGTCCGGAGCACCGGCGAATGTAAATAAAGTGGCCAAGTGGGTATTTCTTTTGTCTACTTGGTCATTCTCAGATAAAGTTAACATGCAGATTCTGAGTCACATCTAGGTGAGCCTAGTAACGTCAGCTCGATAGTGCTATATGAAGTTTTTTACCGAAGCCTGATGCTAACTACAGGAAAGCGTAGATTCAGTGCTCGATGCTATGCATACTAACTACTTTGGAATTGCAACAATCTACCTAACTAGAGAAGAACAAAGAGCGACCTTGCGCTACCGATTGTAACCGTACAAGATACAATGAAGCGATAGAGAAACACCTGACTGCAGTCGTGCTGTACACCGAGATTTTATTCGACTCAAATTATCGCTCTACGGGCGTTAGAGTGCAACAGACTGTTGAACTAGTAAACACAAAAAACAATCCACCAAGTGAGCAGGAATGCGAAGATAAATCAGCAAGCTATATATGTTTTTCGACAGGCCGGACGTCAGGCTGAGATGTTTCGAACTCAAAAAGCATTGAGAACTGTGAGTTGGATAGCACATTAAGCGGTTTCGAGCCACAACGTAAGCACTTGTAAGGGTTAGATGGCTATTGAACTTGCCACCTCCATCTAGCATGTTAGCTCATATAGCCTTCAAATAAAACGCTCTGATGTTCGAGAAATATGCTTGTGGGTTTACTTTCCATTGAAACAATGCGACTACTGACATGACAGGGCGAGACTGTTGATGAGACAGGATATAATGGATGGTGAAACGACGCGACCACTGAGGATGGGCAAGACGATTTAAAGAAACCTACGCAGGAGAGATTGAAGATAACGGACAGCGAAGGTTATTATTAAATAGACATCAGCTCAAATGCATTTAGTTCTCAATTCACTTCCTACTTCTGAGCCCGTGTTCAACACCTACCAATCGGGTAACCCGTGCACACGACTGACATGGCTATTGCGCATGCCAAAAAAAGAAGTTTCGGTGAATGTAGTGTAAAAGAGGTCACACTAATTGCTAATTCTCTCAAAGTTGCAGAAATTAACTTGGTTGGGATCTCTCAAAAAGAAGCTGCTGGAACTCAACTGAAAACAAATAAAATTAAATCGAACAAACAATGGAGCAGTCCATGAAAAATCGCGTACGTAAATGTTGGCATGCTAAGCCAAAGACGATTAATGGCCGCATTTGATTGTGGTAGATCTGATCCACATTTCCTCTTGGAAACGAAAGATGCTGACTGGACCGAGTGATATCAAGACAATAAGTGGACTTTTGGTGAGCACAGGATAATCATAGGCATCGATGAGAAGTCTACACTGGAAACTGAATAAGGATGCAATACGTTTCTCCCTGGAGGAAGCCACAATTTGTCAGAGGAGTGACGGCATAAAGAAGTATACGAGTGAGAGCGATAGTGAAACGGAAGAAGGGGGTTGAAGGCAGAGCAAACTGCAGGAGCGAGCACAAGCATTTGATTTCAACAAATTTCTGCAGGTCATGCAAGAATGCTGGACACGACCAGTGAGCAAAAAAGTGCTAAAAACCATAGGTGCAGGTAAAAATATATTCATTCCGCAAAACGACTACCACCACGCGAGAGGTCGGGCGTATTTTTGTATCACATTTTGACATCCGGCGAGTGACTGCAGTTTCACCAAGATTTTTTTGGGATGTTTTGACAAGAGAATTTATGCGAGAAAAGAATGCAGAGTCGGAAGCAATCAAAAGTGATCTAATTCACCTAAGGTCCCATCTGCATAAATCTCGGCTCAAGCGATAACCTGTGATTCTCGTGTCAAACAGCAACACGTCGTCTTTGTGATAGCAATTTAGATCGATGATAAGCAGGTTTAACATCTTATCCTGACGCCACTAGTCGACACGAAGTGACGGGCTTGATACACTCTTTCGCACACAAACAGAAAGTATCGCAAGAAAGTGACGTCCAGCGATAAGTCCACACTCCTACAGCTACTAGTGTCGTTTGACCGACTGAAGACTTCACCAACATAGCCCAAAGCAGAGTCAAGTAGTCAACGGCATATTCGGAGCTGTGCACGTTTAAGGAACATCACAGGTCGTTGTCGTAGATTAGTCGTGGTGGAAGGGTTACAACATACGCACCAATAAGTCAAGCAGTGACGTGGTATCCTTTCGGCAGAAAACATTATCACATCTTCGGATCACTTTTGCTGTTTCGATACGTCATCGCAGAATTGAAAGAGTAAAAACGCGCTTTAATTTCCAGTGGAAGAAAAGTAAGTAAAAATCTATGGAGTGTGCATCCAGGGTGCATGATAGATCTTGAGGTTTAGCGCTTCATTTGAATTCAAAAAGCGCCGAGGCTGCAACTTGACTCGAGTTACGAATGCAAGTTTAGTCATTGAAATCGGAAGAAAATCATCGAAATGAAAGTGCTTTGGGCTCAATGTTCATCCGATCAAACTTTGTCTGTCTGTCAGCTAATCGATTGTTCAAGTTGATTATTTTGCGAAGCGACAGTGGGTTATAGAGCATGGACTGACACACTAGCATCTACTTTTAATCTTAATCGCTCAGTTTCGGACACTAGCGTAAGAGTCGTCGTTGATACAGCACAATTTCTCTGGGAGGGTTCTACCTGAATATTGTAAACCTTTTCAAGGTTCTCAGGATTTGATCAACACTTATGCTTTGGCGCTCGTTCAACTGCCATTCAGTCGAACGTATCTGGTTTGCAACAAGCAGCTTCATTGTACTCTTGTTGCACACGAGCCTCATTCAATCGGATAAGGTAGCGTTGTCTTCCTGCATCAGGTTGTGTGTTTGCTGAAGTTGCATACCCTTCGCTTTCGTTAGCAGTATGCTCATTTGTGCTGGTCTGATTGCACTGGAATGAATTGTATGAGATTTTGCCTACCTCAGTAAGAAATGTGTTTACCCAAGTCAATGTTTTCATATAGTACCGAGCCGTCACTTGACTTCCTGTCAGCGACACCTGGTACATGTGTTTATCAAGGCTTTTGCTGTAAACGATTAACGCGATGAAAAAATCGAATCGAAAAGCTATGGTGATCATCAAACTGTAGGCTGGATCGACGACATCAGTTTTGAATCAGAAAGGCAAAGAGGAGTCAGCGAGACACAGTGCTCAAAGGCCACAAGTCTCGTTCTTATTACATCGTCACAGCTTGATCAATGGACCATAGAGGCAGGCAGTAGCAGAAGCCAGCATTATTCAGCCTTCGACAATCTCTATCTGCTACATAACTAGGTTCTGCCGAAATGGTATTCACGCGGTCTGGCCCAGCATATTTCCAGCTACACGTAATTGTCGAGGATATGTGTAGCTAGGACGTCGCCAGATGATCGGTAACAAAATCGATGCAAAGTTACTGTCTCCAGATCCGAGTGCCCCCATGTATACTTCGCGTGGACAGTGTCCAAAGGTCAAGTGATATTCGCAACTGGTCTACGTGTCTGCTGCAGCACTGCTTTTGCCATAATAGAATTCGTAGAACAACTCCATCATGGGTGGCTTGACGTAATGAAAGCTGATCGAATCCGGCGCGCAGCACTTATCTCCATTCTGCCATCCAATTCCGTTATGATCCGAGAACCAGTTGTTTTCCTGATAAATCGACGTGAAAATCTTGTGGTCGTACGCCTCCTCGTCATGCGGTTTCGCGTACACCTCCATCGGGTCATACTGATGAAACCTCTCTCGTTTTTCACTATCCCTCGTATCCCGCAAAGTCACCCCTAAATGCCACATACAAAACGAAATCGCCCAGTCATCTGGAACGACTTCGTTTGGTAAGCAATAAGGTTCATCAAAAGCAGCTTCCAGCGTCTTTAAATACGCCCAATTCATAGCATAGCCACCTCCTCCCGGGGTGTAAACCAACCCGCCCTTGTCCCTCGTTGCATCACGTACTTTCAGCATCGCTGCCACATGATCCGGGTCGTAGTTTTCAAACGGTTCAAACAAACGTTGCATCTCCCACCATTGCAACGTCATGCGATGTCCCAATAGAACAGGCCCTTGCTTCGCCAGTGCTTCAATATCGGGTGATGTCAGGTACTGTTTTAGATTCTCCATAATTAAAAACGTATCGTCGTCACACTTGAAAATCCAGTCATAATCTGCTTCCTGATACTCCCGCACCAAGAGCCGGACGATCTCCCGGTGTTTCTGCCACAGCATCTCGTGCGACGGCGGCGCGACGATGCGCACGGTCGGAATGCTCGAATCTTCCACGTCACTCATAAAGAGCAGCTTGTCGCACTTGGTGCCCCACGTGCGCTTGATCGCGTCCAGCCGCGCGTCGTGATTGGCGTGGTACGTGTTGACCCAGCAGAGCACCCGCCTCTTGGCGGCAGCGGGCGATAACGTGGACACGTTCACGAGCTTCATGGCAGGGACGTTATCTCCCAACCGTTCGAGGAGTTGGGGGCTCGGCTCGGCAGTGGTGAAGGGGGTGAACTCCGCAGTTAGGAGCACAAGGAGGAGGATGGACGGGACCATTTCGATTGGGGTCGCAAATTGAGAACTGACTGACTGGCTGACTGACTACTGCTGAGGTGCTTGTTGTGTGGTCCTTCCCTCTAGAAGTTAATACGAGGGTGAAAAAAGGGAACTGACTGATGTGAGTCGAATGGATAGAGTTGTACTGAGTTACTGCGTTTTACTGAAGAGATGTGACGAGCGTTATGATGAGCGTGTGAGAGGAGAGGACTGACATGACGAGCAGACAGATGGGTAATATTGCACGATGACGCGACACAAGCCGCTAGCGAGTAAGAGGCGCTTTTGAGCGAGCGGTCGTGAACAACTTTGGCAAAGCGAAGTCAGAGTCTTCCGGCGGCACGTTCTTCTAGCTGTTACTATCTGAGAATGTACGTGCAGACCTTGACTACTCGTGATGTCGAGAAGCAAACGACATCCGAGTCAACCAAGCCATACTGACCCAGGCCGCACGCACAGTTGAGCAATCTCTGCTCCGCCAAAGTTTTACCGTTGGTCAAACGGTGCTGCTCGCTGCAATTTCAGCTTTGCCTATCTCTAGCCGTCAAACGTCACCTCCGTGCTTGAGAGTCCTCTAAATGATGGAGTAGCAACAACGCAGTATGCCTTTGTGCTTACAAGATCCTTTAAACAGCCGCGTAACGTTGCACTTCAAGCGTTTCTGCCCACAGCTTCAATTGAAAGACATTTCCTGCATTTACAGCGCTATCCATTTTTACCATACAGCTGTGAGCTCCTTACGCACGGCAAACCAGTCAAGTCTCTTTGTGAATCTCGAAGTGATGTAAGGGTAACTCTACCACTAACTTCCACGCATCCAGAAATACTTTTTGTCCTCACTCTCCTCCTTTAACACCCCCGTCCATCCACATCAACTTCAACTTGAGTGACCAACACTCTTTGGTCTAACTACCGTCACAATCTCAGTACAATCCGTACATTCGTACCACAACCCAGTCAACCTCCCGCAAATGGCCACGCACGACGCGCACGAAATGGCGTCTGCGTCGACGTCCACTACGCAGCGACAGACGTTCTACATTCAACTCGACAACAACGCGCCCGCAGAGATCAACTTCAAGCAGCTTGTGATCCAACATTCACGTCCATTTGAGGCTTTGCCGTCCAGCACGAGTCCAGCAAACACAGCGTCTACTGCCGTGCCTTTACCCAAGAACTCCGAGTCTGTGGCGTCCACGACGCGTCCACAGCGCTTCAACATCATTGAACACCTCGAGAAACGCTACGGAAGTGGCTCGGTGCTTCAGGACGGATACGAAGGGGGCGACGGGTTCGACCGTCGAGACGACGACGATCTGTACGACTCGGAGGACTCGTTTATCGACGACGCTGAGCTGCAGCAGCACATTGAGGACGTGCGGGACCATAGAAAAGTCAAGACAAAGCACGCTGGATTCTTTGTGAATGCTGGGGAGGAGATTGAGACGCTGGAGCAGGAGGAAGACGAGGACGACGAGAGTAAGCAAGGCAAGAAGCGGACAGTGTCGGGAGCGCTGCGGTCGTTTCTAGAGGAACTACCGGAAGGTGTGAGTGAATGGCAGCCAGATGAAGAGGTGGTCAAGAGACTGGAGGTGCTACGGACGGCCGTGCAGGAGTGTGAGTGGAGGTTTTTTATTCGGGGGCAGGGAATGGAGAAAGGGAACGGGACTGTTTCTTCTTCATGGAGGTTTTAACGGTGGCGATGTTTAATTTGCTGCTTCCGGCGGGGGGGGGTTGTGTTGTTGTTGTTTCTAGTGGCAGAGACTGCACCGATTCCCAAGGTGTTTCCGAGATCACTGGATGGACCACTGCGTGCGGTCGATAAGCTTGTGGTTGAAGCTCATCCGAACAAGTGGCGAGTGACGGGATACTTTGCGACGCTGATGACGTTCCTGCCGTACACGAAGCAGTATTTGAAGGTTCTTGATACGTATCGGAGGGTGTCGGTGTGCTTGGTTGTGTCATTGGGTTGTTAGCTGAGATGACGTGATGTACTAGTCGAACATGCTGAGACTGGAAGCACGAGATGTTGCGAAGAACGAGAGGGAGAAATTGGATAGTGCCGTTGAGACGCTGACCGAGTTCGTAGTTGCGTACGGGTCGCGGGCTGCAGCAGAACCAGTGGATGCGGTGATGGCAGGTGTGCTCGTGGTTAGAACGGAACGGAATCTTGCTGGACGGTAGCGTGGACTGAACGCTTTCTCTTGGTCTTTGTTGTTGCAGATATTGCTAAGGACAAGGAACTGGGCACAAAGCTGCATACGGTGCTAGAGTTTCAAGACGACTGGGTTGCGAAAGAAAACGACTACCGGTGAGACCACCTACTTTGTGCAATTATGTCCAGCAATGATGCTTATCTCTTGATGTAGCCAAATGCTGAAGACCGAAGACAAGAAGCATATGAAGGAGCCAGACTACAAGCCGCTCAACCATCGCCAGGAGCGCAATCGAATGTTCAACCGGGTAAGATCATGTTCATTATGTGGCCCTTCGTATGTGGGAAGCAAACTTGAGTGTGTCCGTGTGTGCTTTTCTGCAGGTTCTTGCACTATTCCCATCTGGTCTGACCGATCTACAAACATTACGCGCTTTGAACAAAGCCGCTAAGGCGAAGGTACCAAAGAAGCCTGCACAGCCAAAAACACTTGTCAAGGGTGCTGTCGCAACAACAAAAAAGAAATCGGCTGAGCAAACTACCGGGGCAACTGCTTCCGTCAAACGATCAATAAAGCCCTTCAAGTCGCGCATGATGGACGAAGCTCCACCTTTCATCGAGGAAGACTTCGAGGAGATAGAACAGTGAGACAGCACATGCAAGAGGCATAGCTATTGACGATAATGTTCTCAATTACTCGGCCTTGACGCGGTCGAACACGATGATCATCTCGCAGTGCGGTGTGTGGGGAAACATATCAACAGGAGCGGCGTGAACAGGCTCAAAAGCCCGACCCTGAAGGGAGTTGGAGCCGGGACCACACAGCATTACTGCATCTCGCACCAGCGAAACTGTCGGATTGCAAGACACGTACACGATGCGCTCTACCGGTGGGCATGCACGCAGCGCGCGTAGCACTTGATGGTGAAGACCAGCACGTGGCGGATCTACGATAGCCACGACACGGTTCAAATGCTTTTCACTCTCATCGCGCTTCTTTTGCAGTAAGTTCTTCATCACATTCTCAGCCTTCGAGTTAATGAAGCTCACGTTCTTTGCACCGTTTAGCTCCGCATTCACCTCGGCATCGTTAGTCGCAGATTTGCAAATTTCAATTCCTACGACCTTCCCGACACCCTGTGACGCACAAATTGCAATCGTGCCAGTACCACAACAGACATCATATAGCAACGTGTGCTCGTCCGCGTTAGCGTAGTCCTTAACCAGCGAGTACAGCTTTTCGGCACCACGGGTGTTGACCTGAAAAAAGGCGGTCGGGGATATCGAGAAGCGCATACCCAGCAGGTGCTCCTCAAGCTTCGTCTTGCCAAACACATGTTCTACCGGGTCGTTATCCGATGGAGCCGACAGACCATCGTATTCTTGCAAGTAGATGGAGGTCACCTTGAAAGAATTGCTTTCATCAGTGAACCGCTGCACGATCAAATCTTTGATCGCAGCTCGCTGTTCAGGCAATTGGCCTGTCGGGTTTGCTTGCATCATGATCATGAGTTCACCCGTGATGACACTCTGGCGGACCGTCAGCACACGCCACACACCCTTCTTCGTGGTAACACTGTACACAGGTATATCCGACGTCTCCAATATGTTTTGCATAACAGCACACACCGCCTTCATCTCGGTCGATACGTTCACGCACAAATCAGGCCTGCTGACGACCACCGAGCCTTCTCGAAAAAGGCCCAGGCGGAAACCGACGCAAGGCTGGTCTTCACTGTCAAAGCCAAAGCTAAACTCACACTTGTTGCGGTAGCCTTCGGTCTCTGGGGAGGCGCAGATGGAATTGATAGGGCAGCACAAGCCTTTGTGGCTCGCAAAGCCAGTAAATCTTGCTCCCTTTATATCCGTTGGTAAGAGTACGCTAGCCTTTAGTATGCCATCTTCCTGCACAAACTGAAGAGCTTCAGAAGTTAGAACGCTAATCAGCGTGTTGTGCGAAGAGATACCGAGGCACTTAGGCATTGGTGTCGCACATATTTCAAATACCAGAGCCTCCAGTGCAAACGCGTTAAGCGGGGCACGCGACCAAGATGCGCCATTGTCCAAAGCCGGGTTATGTGCATACAGAAAGCCATTGTGGATGCCAATAAGGGTCGCACCTGGCACTTCACCCAGTAGCTTCCATTTACCCGACGCAAAGCTGCCTCTGCCTTCCTGTTTGTAAATCTTGCCATCGCTACTACATCCGAGCAACGAGCCACGCAACGAAGCCAGTGACGTGATGTGCACTTCATCAGGCCCCCTACAGATCATCTGCCACGACAATCCATCGATCGAAGATAGGTCCGGTTTCAGAGCGTACAGTACGTTATCCGTTTTGATGCCCACGAGGTCGCTGCCAAACGATATGATAGCCACCATGTCGACAGCATCTGTAACACGTGTCCACGGCGTATCTGCATCTCCTTCATGAGGGCGCGAGTACAGCACGTCGTTGGCCACAACGTATAGCGATCCATAACTAATGAGCCACTTGGGGACCAAAAACGCGTACTGCGGTTTGGCATCATCCGTGTACGCGTCGGCCACTTTTGCCATCGCTTCCGTCTCTTTTACCTCCGCTCGTTTTGCCGCTGCTGCCAACCGCTGTTTCTTCTTGGCAACTTTGCGTTGATCCTGCGCCACGCGCTTTTCTTTCTTGCCAAACTCTTTCCTCGTTTGGCGCACAATCTTCATCAAAACTTTCTTCATCTCGGTCTCCTTGCGCTCCAGCTGCTCCTCGTACGGCACATTGGCCCACGGCGTCACGACATCACGCACGTCACGCGCTTTGACGTTCTGCTGATTTTGGTCCGAATGAACCTCCTCTTTTGCTTCTGTATCCTGCTCATCGTGACTTTTTCGTGGCCGCATGGGCTTCATACTTCGCTTGGGCAGCGCTTCTTTCACCTCCAACGGCTCTCCGTGCCAGTCAATTGCCTGTAACTTGGGTAAGGCCTTGGCCCGCTCCTCCTTAGAGTGAAAGTGCACGAACCCAAAGGACAATTGCCGTGCTTTTTGCACTTTCAAAAACTCGATCCCTTTCGCCTGCAGCACGTCAGTCAGGACCTTCGAGTCCTTCCACTTGCCGTAATTCATCACAATCAGCTTTGCGCTGTCGCCCTGGTCCTCTTCGTGGCTCGTGGTTGCTACGGGAAGATGGGGGAGGTGCTCTACAGCGTCTTTACTGCTGCTGCTGTCCATGACGCACGAACGGGATCGATCGACTTGAGGGCGGATTGATGGAGTGATCTGCTGGGCGGCACGCATCGAGCGATTTGGTCTGGCAGAAACGAATAACCTGTAGACTTGAATTTAGCACACCAGGTGCTGGGTGGTTTCGGCTGACAAAGCACCCGTGAGACTGACGACTGGGGATGGGTGTTTGAGCAAAATCCAAGCGCAAGAAGTTGGATGTTTTGCGGAGAGATGCTGGTGTTTTTGTGCATGAAAGTCAGGGATAGTTCGAAACGTGATTGAGGTACGATATTCACTGTGATTTATCTTCTGGAGTTAAAGAAGTCAACGATGCACCGATGGAGCTCGGGTAGATGCGAAAAGGTGAAACTAGATTAGGTTACTGTTTGTACTGTGCATGGAAATGCATGATCTACAATACCGTCTTCGTCGTGTGGAAAGTTGGAAGAACAAAGATCTTGATGTGGATCTTGAGCTGCGGTTGGAGAAGCTCAAACCACGGTGGCCGATACTATATGTGGATGCGTGGAATATGTGACAACTATAGTCCGGAACAAATGGCCTCTTGGATCTAGGTTGACGATCGGGTCTTAATCTCGATACGCACTTTTATTCTACTTGAAACACCGTGTTTGTAGTCCGTGTTCTCTCTGTGTCCGTCATAGTGTAATTGGTCATCCAACATGAAGTGCAGTGCTTGTACTTGTTGTGATAGAAGTGGAATCAAAGGAAAGGTTATCTACCGACCCACATGAAAGAGTTTACTAGATTTCTACAGTGGTCACCGCAATAAGTCTCGCGGATACTGTTTTGCGTGGTATGTTTTATTTCCCTCTCACACTCATTAGTATTTGTGCCACTGACCATGAATGCAGACTATCAAGTAGGGTAAATGTGTCCTTCCGTTACCAATCACCGTTATACTGAAATTAGAAATGCCTGATCAAATTGCATAAGTGCGACTTTACCCTCGCTGAGAACGTTTGTAATGGGAGATTCATCTGGTCAGCAGAGAGAGTATGTGCCATGCTCTTCACAGCGGTGCCAGCAAACCTCCGGACACTTTAAGGCTATACATATTTGTCATTTATATTGCAATGGGCGGCTTCTGAATTTGTGGCAGATGGTAAATATTCAATCTATTATTCAGTGAAGCAATTCGAGAGATATATAGTTTAATCACGCAACCGCCTTTTTACCTCATGTCAAATTCAGCACAAGCCACAGTTATTGAAACGCAGAAAGATAGGCGTGAACTACGCCGCGCAGCGAGTTCCCATACGGCAAGCATAACAGGAGAACTGTATTACCAACTAAAACACCACAAAATGGCAGTAACACCGAGAACACGAACAGCAATAGCAAAAGAAGCGATTGCAAAAGAGGAAGTAGCAGCAGCACAAAAAAGTGCTACACCAGCACCAACAACGACCACAGCAGCGATAGCAACAATAAAAACAATTACATCAGCAACAACAGCAACAATAATAACAATGACATCAGCAGCAGTAACAGAAGCAACATGAACATCATAAAAACTTACAGCAACAACGGCTACAGCGGCAGTGGTAGCAGCAACAACGGCATGAACAACTGAAACGAAAATAGCGATAGTACCAATTATAACTTTAGAAAACAAGAATAACAATACTAAACCAATGTCAAAAATCATACCATCAATAATATGAGCACCAATTGACTACTTTTACGGCTGCGACAGGAGATGCAAAGATGCTTTTGTTGCATGTTGATGCACTTGTGCAGTAGAAGTAGGGAGTAAACGTAATTTATATGGAGAGTTAACTACCCTTCATAATTAGCTATACCACATGCTGTTGATGACCAGCACTGCAACTTGACCAAGTCAAGTTATGCCTGGCGCACATCCAGCGTGTCCATCACCATGTGTCATCTCTGGTCCCACATGACGTCCGTATATCGCGCCCTGGCCCCACCTGTCAACTTGTCATTCAATCAGATGAGGTTACCCTTTACCTGTCACAGGTATTGCAGTCTTCACCCCGAGTTTGAATGACCGGTCCGAAACAGTATCTTCTCTAACTCCTCCTCAACGTCAGCCTGAAGCATCTTCAAGTTGAACATTCCTCGTAGGTCTCCCATCCTCTTGCGGGCAACGACTTCGCGAGGATGTCTGCCTTCATGTTCTCCGGCTTCAAGAATTTTGGTATCACCGTTCCTTCACGTAGATGGTGACAGATAAACTTGAAACGGATGTACACATGCTTCGCGCTTAAGGTGCTCTTCTCCGCTTCGATTTTCTTGATGATCGCTTGATTATCCATTCACATAGGCATCGGCTAACTCACCTGAAGCTGTAATCCAACGAGTAGCTCCTTCACGCCCAGTAATTCGCGGCCAGCTTGAGAGGCGGATATGAACTCCGCCTCCTCGTGCTTAGAGACATCCCTGACTGCTTCTTGCATGACCAGAACACAACAGCACCATCAATAGCTAGCACACACCCAGACAACGAATTACGATCGGCCTTTTTGGCAGCAACATCTGCGTCGCTCCAACATCAAGTTTTGATACCATCTGTAGTAGGCCCTAAAGTAGTTGATCAAATCTGGTAAAATGCAAAGTGACTGTATTTAGGTCCTTAGTTCACAAACTCTGTTGCTGCTCTAAGCCTACTTGATTCTTCGACTATACGTTCCTAATCGCTATATCGCGCATGACTAATCGTCTAGTCGTACGTTTCTAATTCTGGTCATGCGTTTTTTAAACACCCAAACATACCGAAAGTGCGGGATGTCACTTTCTGGCAGGACAGTGCTAGTGAACCCCAAACACCAGATCCCGAAGGCTTAGCGTTTTTGTTTGCACGCCCCACCGGTATCAAACCAGTGACCTTTGGGGTGGTACTGCCATACCAAACCGGCTGAGCTACAGAACACTTTTCTGAAACGTCATGCCGAGGCGTACCTTTTACAACAGACCCGACGATATCAATATGTAGCTTCAAAACCTCCAATCCCTTCAAATAGCGTGCGATGCATTTCGCTGGCTTCCAGTCCTTGGCGGTCGGTCTGTGCACAAGGCACGTAGCCTTGTGCACCGCAAAGCAAATTTCGGGAGGGGGGGAGCATGCACATTCCAATTCACAGCAAGCTCCCCACCAACGGTTGAAACGAACCAAAACTTGGTTCGCCACTTGCACCCCTCACGGGTAGGAATTCCGGGTTCTCGTGTCATCCTCGTTGCACTCATCCCCGATTGGTTTCCGTACACCATTCGCGAAATTTAGCTTAGAATTCCTCAGAAGGACGTCAGTCATCACCTCTTGGTCCAAAACGTATCCATAGGTGTCATCCAATTTGATCCGGAGTTCTAAAAGTCTTCACGACTTTCAGGTCCTTGGTCGACAGTGTCTCTAGTTCGGCGGAGTGGTCGTCCACTGCACCTTGCTTCGTACCGGCGACAATAAGATCATCGTCATACACTCCCTCCACGGTACAGGTACCACCTTCCTGCTTGTAGTACAAGCACATATCCGTAGTGCACTGCTCAAAGCTCTACTCGCTTAGCTTTAGATGTATAAGCTGGCTCCAGATTCGTCCAGCCTGCTTCAGTCAGCAGAGCGATTTCTTCAACGGCAGTGAAACTTCCTTGGGATACTTCACATCAACACCTTCGAGCTCACTTGTAGTCACATGCATACCCTTTCGTTTCGCCATAAAGGTGTCCAAGTGCTCCTCTTTTTATGCTTTTACGTAAGCATTCGCCACGTCATCATGAAGTTCCGACACATCTCATTTAATGTATAACATCAAAATCAACTTAACGGTCGCCAAATCCATCACTGCCGCAAACGTCAGATTGTAGTCGACGCCAAAATCTTGTTCGTTTTTTTCGCACATTACCAAACGAGCCTTGTATCGCTCGATGTCTCTGTTTGCATCCGTCGTCGTCTTGTAAACCCACTAATTTTGCAATACGTATGTGCCTCTTGGAGGCACGACCATCTGCTACACGTCGTTTGACTTTAAAGCATCCAGCTATTGGTCATGTCCACAAGCTATTGGTCACGATCCATGCCATTCATTGCTTCAACGTAAAGTTCCGGATCTTGCTCGATGCAAACATTCACATTGTCACAATTTTTTCCAAGGTTAATTCCTTCAACCTTTTCGGTTGAGTCAAAGTCGTTGACCTAGTACTGTGGCGTTCTCTAGTTCAGATAGTCTTTCGACCCTTGCGGACCTTCTTCGCACTTCTTGCACCATCTTGATGCACTTGATGATTACGACGTTGCTCCTCTTGACAGCGTACTGCATCAAGACGAGTCTACCTTTTATCCACGTTATCCGATTATGCTTTAATGCTTTGAATGTGTTGCGTCACCACAACCACCTTATCCTATAGGATGTACACCTTGTGCCCTTCGTTTCACTGCCTCGCCCAATGATGATGCCTGCTTTCCCTCGCCCTCGGAGTGATACGTTTCTCGGATGCCTATGCGCAGTTCAACATGACCTGCGCATAGGCACCATCCAATAATCACGATGTCCTTAAACTCGGGGGTTTTGTTTGTCAAAACCTCCATGGGAGATACTCCTCCAGAATTGGACTTTGGCTTCGATTCAGAGTGTACGCGACATACTCCGCGGCATCCATTCAAAACGACAGCGGCAGGTTGGATGCTAAGATCATACTACTCATCATGTTCATACGGTGCGGTGCATCCGTTCAGCCTTTTTTCTTGCTTGTTTCCTCGCTTCACATCTTTTAAACAGGTCCCCCAGCATGGCTAGCATTTGCTCGATCGTCTCCGCAGGCGCTGCCGACTATTCTTCCAGGTACTGATCGTTGCGTTAACCTTGCCATCGATCACTATGTTGGGAGCCGCTGGTTTAGCCACACCATCAACACGTGTAGTTGGGATCATCACATGTTGCATGTTGATGCACTTGTGCAGTAGAAGTAGGAAGTAAACGTAATTTATATGGAGAGTTAACTACCCTTCATAATTAGCTATACCACATGCTGTTGATGACCAGCACTGCAACTTGACCAAGTCAAGTTATGCCTGGCGCACATCCAGCGTGTCCATCACCATGTGTCATCTCTGGTCCCACATGACGTCCGTATATCGCGCCCTGGCCCCACCTGTCAACTTGTCATCCAATCAGATGAGGTTGCCCGTTACCCGTCACAGGTCTTGCAGTCTTTACTACGAGCTTAAATGACCTGTTAGATTCAGTTTCTTCAAACAACGTTTACATCTTTCCTGTGCCATCCGCGCCCACAACTGGTGGATGGAAGCGCAGTACGTTTGCGGCAGAACCCCCTCCGCGGCCCCCCCCTACAGGTCAGGGGTCGAGCACAGTCAAACTATGGGAAATCAAATATGACTGAGATCTGATTTTTTACGTGTGTCACATTAACTTGAGTATGCAAGAACGTGGGGCATTTTCTTCATCGTCGCGATTAAAATGGGGCGTTTATTTTTCTGATCATCTGGGCATTTTTATTTTCCAACTATCTGATGTATATTTTAGCTCCCTTTCCTGTAATCGTTATGCTATGGTAAAGACTTATATGTACAGCATAAGTCTGGTGATGAAAATGGGCGAAAGAATTTGGGCGAGCGTGGGTGGGTGCGCTGAATCTGAAACAATGAATGAGTGGGCGTGAATAGGCAGAGCCCACCCACGCCCAAGGATTTTAGCCTTTGGGTGATGTCGTATGCTCCAATTTGGAACTTTGGTACACATCCATAATTGTGACTTCGTTACGTACCAGGTGATCTGTGCTCCGCATTTTTTTGGGCGTCCAATTTGTCAAAACACTCTGGCTCATACTTATATTCTTGGACTCGTGCTGGCAGATCTCAAGCTTTTGAGCATTGGTGATGCGTGCTTGGGAAAGAGATGGGAATATATGAGGAGACAATTAGTCGTCAGGAAGTAAATTGGAAAGTATTACAGGCGTTAGAGAACTTACACATACATTTAGCTACTCCTATGTAGAAGCACTACAAAGATCATACCTGAGTCGCTTCTCTCTTCATATAACCGACTGCCGGTGTTTCACTTTCTGCGTCCGTTCCAAAACGACTACATTCAAACGTCATCACGACAGCTGAACATCCACAAAATGTACATTATCAACACTTCACCTCGAACAGAAGTCTCCAACGTTTGTCTTTGCCACGAGAAGCTTGAACTTTTTGGTCGAAATTGCCTTTGTAAAAAAATTGGCGAGCTGTGACTTTATTTCAATTTATTCCAGCCGAATGACCTCGACCTTGACTCGGTCACGCACAAAATGATAGCGAATATCTATATGCTTCGCTTGACTTTGATATTCTTAGTTCTTCGCAATAGCAATCGCACTCTGGTTGTCTTCATACACAAGCGGAGTGTCAACTTTGATTCCTCCTCCACCAATAGGCTCTCTGTCCACAAAATCTCTTAGATGCACAGCAAAAGTGCCACATACTCAGCTTCGGCAGTACTTGATAAACACTGTTTTAAAGATTCGACTCATATATGACTGGAGAGTCCTTGACCATCACCATGACTTCAGATGTCGAACGTCGGCTATCTTTGTCACTTCCCCAATCTGCATTCCTTAATACACTCTTTAGGTTAACAGACTTGCTTTGATAGCAAATTTCGTTCGTTACGGTCGACTTTAGGCAGCGCAGCACACGAATGGCTGCATTCCGGTGCTCTTCACTTGATTTTTTTAAAATGTCGACTCAAGTATACCAACTGCAAATGCAATATCGGGTCTTGTACCTGTCGCCACGTATAGAGTGATCCTACCTGAGATCCGTACGGTCGAATCGCCATCTTTGGGTCATTTTCCTCGCACTTGAGCATAATTTGACCTTCCACGCCAGGATTGTTAGCCACTCCGACTTGATTAAAGTTCTAGATCATTCTGTCAATGCACGCACGTTGGCTGATCTTGAGCTTCTTTTCATGCTGTGCATACTCCACCTCAATGCCTAAGCTAAACATCTCACATTGCCTAGATGCTTTAACGTGAAATGACTTGCATAATCACCGATAACTTAGTCAATTGAATCAGCAGAATTACCTCCAATCAGCATATCGTTAATTGACGGCGTCACGAAAATCCACAAAAGGTTTCCATCGTGACGAACGAAAACACAAGGGTCCGAAACACAAGCCACAAAGCCCATTTTCCGAAACACGATTAAAATTGTCTTATACTATGTTGCAGCAGCCTGTTATAATCCATAAAGATTTCTGATAAGTTTCAAACTTGAATCGGTTCATGTTGACACCTTGAGGTGTAGAAATGTACACATCTTTTACCAGAACTCCATTAAAGGAGGCTGTATCAACATCATATTGGCGGATAAGCATTCCAAAATGACAACACACGGCAAGAAATACACGAACAGAGTTCATGTTGCCACCGGCGAATATGTCTCGTAATGATCCACACCATGGGTTTGACGATATTGTAAGGCAACAAGCCGTGCCTTGAATCGATCAACTTTCCATGTTCATTGGGCTTTATGGCGAACACCCACTTGGTTCCGATCACCTTGTGACCGGGAAATTTGGTCACTGTACTCCATGTATTCTTCTGGTTAAGTGCATGTAATTTATTTCTGATTGCATCTTTCCACATCTTGGCTTGAGGAGAACAAATCGCATCTTGATATGTTGATGGGACCCCAGAGCTGCATTCGCTTGTTCATATTCGATGCGATATCGTTTTGGAGCTCGTTCTGGTTGGGCGTCTAGTGCAAGTACAATAGCTTCACAATGACTCACTAGAACTAGAGCCTGGGAATTCTGATTGATTGTCGACGCATCCGGTGCATTGTATCCGCCACGACGATATGGTGCCAAATCCGAGCAACCGTTGGTACGGCTCAATCCATCTTTGGGCACAATGGCCTGCTCTGTTTCCAAATCAACATCAACTAGCTTCATGCAAACGCCGTCTATCTCGAAAGCGAGATCTGGACAAGCAGCGAGATCTGAACAAGAAGCGATATCTGGAATTGGACCCACCAAGTCAAATTCGCTAAGGGGTAAAATTGGATGAGTGCCTGTTCGATCCACTTACATAGGTGATTGTCGGTTGCTAGTTGGTGCGTAGGGTAAGTGTACCTGACCTTTATCGTCAACTATATCCTGATTTACATTTTTGTGACATCTTGAACAGTAACAACTTCCATATATCTGGACTGAGGTAGCTCTTGAAATATCGCAGACCTCGTAATTTCCAGTCGATTTGTATCATAGTTCCAAACACGGTAGCCCTTCACATCATGTGCGCGCCCCAAAAACATGCATCGAAATTCCTTTTTATCCAGCTTCTGTCGTTTTGCTTTGGTGATGTGCGCGTACCCTTGCGAGACAAACACACGCATATACGACAAGTTCGGCTTTGATCCAAAACCAACGTCAAACGGAGTCTTAGTCGGGTGAGACGCGCATGTGACGAGATTCGTAATGAATATTGCAGTGTTGATGGCTTCGGCCTACCATTTCTTCTCAACCTGCATGTGATTCAACAGTGATCGTGTTCGCTCCGTCAGCGTCCGATTCATTCGCTCAGCCATTCCATTTTGCTGCGGCGAATGCGGAACTATCGTTTGGTGTATGACTCCAGCTAGCCGATACACTTGATGACAATGCTTGTTTATACATTTGCCCCCGTTGTCGGTGCGGACACATTTAATCTTTGTAGACAATTAGTTTTCCATCATCGTTATGAATTTGATAAAATTATCGACCACTTCCGACTTGTGTGTAATGTAGTACGCGACTATGTATCGTGAAAAAAGTCGACAAATATAACGACGAATCTTGCTCCACCCTGGGATTTAGTCTCCATTGGAACCATTACATCACTTTAATTAAATTGCAGTAGCGAAGTCGTCTTCACTTCACCGTCACTTGACTTCGGAAAAGGCTTGACCGATGACTTGCCAGTCACACATCTTTCACATATGTCATCTCGAAAATCGACAGTATTCGACAACTCTTCCATCTTGAATCCTTTGACACAGTTCTTGAGCCTTTTCAATGCCTTTATCGGCAGATGTCCCATTCGAGCGTGCCAATAATTGGACTCACAGGCTTGGCTGCGCTGTAAACCTCTTCACAGGTCTTTGCAGACTCCACTTGTTCGCACTCCAGCATAAACAATTTCCCTTCTGGGCAGATTGAGTCACTACTTCGTGTTGGTTCCTAATCTCACATGTGTTCTTTCGAAACGTTATGTGTAATCCTTTCGCAGACAACGCGGAAATCAGCAGATGTCTACAATCCAGTTCCAGAACGTAGAGCATGTTTTCAATGCGGATGGGATTCTGGTTCTTCAATAAGACTCGAATCGTCCCAACTCCAGCAGCCGTCACTGTTTCTCCATTCGCAACCGAAATCGCAACCGACGTTGTAAGAGATCGAATTTCCGCAAACTCATCCTTGAGTGGGCACATGTGATTACTTGCACCACTGTCAAGTAGCCATCCTTTAGCCTTTTTTTGTTCACATACTGTAAACGCTTGTCCTCCATTCTTTTTCTTGTCAGGATTCTTCCAGCAATCTTGTTTCTTGTGACCCTTTCTTCCACAGACGAAAAACGTCCCGGAAAAATTGTTCTTCTTTCCTTCGACCTATAAACTTCGTCCTTGACGCTTCTCGTAGCCTTCAATGTTCATTCTTGTCCTTGCTAATAATTACCCCGTACTCACGACGAAGCATCTCCTTTGCAATATAGAGATCGATATCCATCACGTTCTCGATAATCTTAACGATGTGATTGTACTCTTCGGACAGATTTCCTAGCAAAATGACGAGTTTTTCATCTCGCGACACTTCGTCTTCAATGGCTTGCATCGACAAACATAGTTCGTCGAACTTGAGAAAGTGTTCCATCACGCTAACGCCCTTCTGCACCTTGAATTCATGCAGCTGTCGACGCATCTGGACTTTATTGTGAATGCTTCGACGAAGGAAGAAGCTTTTTTAAAATCCCCTATGCTTCTGCAGTCGTTTGTGCCGACCAAACCATAGATTGACGACTTGGACTTGTATTGTGCACACGGTTGCAAAAGCCTTCATGTCTTTGACTTTCTAGGCGCCCGTGTTAGCGTCGTCTTTATCCAAAGACTCAGTCGTGTAGAGGTGCTCCAGCAAACCTTACTTTGCGAGGTTCATACGAGTGTTAAACTCCCACACGAAAATATATTATCTTCATTGAGTATAAAGTTTGCCTCAGTCGTATTTTGGCTCATAACCTGAAGAGGTATGAATATCAGAGGAGACAACTAGTTGTCAGGAAGTAAATTGGAAGTATAACAGGCGGCGGAGAACTTACACATGCACTTAGCTACTCTTTTGTAGAAGCACTACAAAGGTCATACCTGAGTCGTTTCTCTCTTCATTTAACCGACTGCCGAAGTTTCACTTTCTGTGTCCGTTCCAAAACGACTACATTCAAACGTCATCACGACACATACACATAATGTTCATCATCAACACTTGGGACATGGTCATACGTGATTTAGAAGGGGAGCCCGCTCTTTTTACTGATCGTTTCTTTTCACAAAAAGAATCGGAAATTCTCGACACGCAAAGCTCGGCTAATTTAGAGAGCATATCTCTACCAACTGTATGGGTTATTCGAGGAATGATTGTCTATCAAATGTGTGTTGAGTACTCTCTCGTCGTGATTCGACACCAATCCATGCCAGTGTCGTATGTGAAACTTTCCCTGTGTTGCATTGCAATATTTTATGCACCAGTCCAAGTGGAAATCAAAATACCAAACATTCCACAAATACTCATAAATAGGGCCTCCCCTACAACATCCCACCCGCACGGGACGGGACGCAGGATGAGCCGGTTCTATCCCGCGCGTCCTGCATATCCTGCATTTTTAACTATCTTAAAATATCGTCGAGACTCTACTGACTTTCTACGATCATTCTAAGAGAACTAAAAGAGCGTAAAATGAAAGTGTCATCGATTTTACATGTATTCCTTGTTAAATTCAGTATTCATTTTCATCTTGTCACCTTTCTGCCAAGGCATGCATCCAGGCATCATAGATGCTTGTAAATACGATTTGGTTGCCTCTGGCGACGATCGGATGGAGATCCTAAGCCTACCAGGGACTCGCGACTTTGATCTATGATGAAGGTGAGTTTCTTTCAGTAGCAACTCTTTTGCTCAAAAGCCTCGCCAAGAGGTTGCACTTTTCCGCCAAACGTCGAAATCGCCTATGAGCAATTGCAATAGCCTAACTTCTTTGGCCATACTCATGATTCAAGCCGTCGCTACTCACTAAAATCTACTGCATAGATGACGGCGCATGTGGTAAATACTTCGTATTATCGTTACCACCACGTTTACACAGTGCTCTTCTTGCATGAGCCTGCCATCAGCGGCACCGATTCGGATCGAGTGGATAAGGCATTGAGCTTCTACCCTTGCTGTAGCAGGTAAGCATTGGTCACACATCGACGAGAATGTTACCATTAAAGTATAATCGTCCTTCTTTCGTACCCTCAGCGCGTACGGATGCGATCACGTGTCTGCAGATCTGATCGTTACGAAATATATGTAGCGTAAAATGTCCAACGGTGTCGTCCCGCAGTATCCCGCGTCCCATCCCGTCCTGCGCGGGACGGAGCCTTCCGCTTGAATTCGACGAGCTTTCCTACCCAATCACCTCCCCGCATGCCATCATCTCTCACATTAACCCGAATATTGTCAGCTCCATTGTGATTTTCCAAGCCATTCCGATAATGGCGATCCGAGGCACAAGCGCGACGCAAGACGGGCGCTACTTGGCGCAGGAGAAGAAGCAGCTGGCGAAAATGACGTTCCCGTCCTGCTTCACCCAGCGCGTGGACATGCGCAAAGTGCAGCGCGAGGTGATCAACCAGTGGGTCACGGAGCGCATCACGCAGCTGCTGGGCTTTGAGGACGATATTGTGGTGTCGATGGCGATCAATTTGCTGGAGCCCGAGGTGAACGAGACGCTGGATCCCAAGCAGCTGCAGGTGGCGCTCACGGGATTTTTGGAGAACCAGGCAGGTGGGTTCATGCAGGAGCTGTGGCAGCTGCTGCTTAGTGCCCAGAGCAATTCCACGGGCATTCCAAGCGCTATTCTGGACAAGAAGAAGCAGGAGATACAGGCAATTGCACAGGAAAAGGAGCAGCTGAAGAAGGTGCTGGACTTGAAGAGAGCAGAGGGAAGAGTGAGCTGCGCGAGAGACGGAGATCGAGGGCAGAAGAGACAGGAGAAGGAGGTTGTCGCGTCTGTGATCGACACTCGACGCAGTCCATCGGGACGGAACGACGATGGAAGGGAAGACAAAAGACCTTCGAGAAGTATACTGCAACGTCGTCGCAGCCCCGTGCGACGTTCGCGTCGGTCCACGAGTCGACAGCGACGTCGTCGCAGTCCTGTGCGACGTCCGCGTCGGTCGATGAGCGTTGAGAGACGATCAAAGAGTCCGCGAAGTCGTCGTCGACGCTCGAGAAGTCCGCATGGTCGTCGTCGAGACTCGCCTGGTCGACGTAGAAGGTCGCCGAGTCCACGAACGAGAAGACGGTCGCGCAGCTCACCTCGCGGTCGCTTCAGAAGACAGAGATCGCGGTCGCCGTCAGTGAAACGCCGTCGTAAACGCAGGAGAGTGGATGGTTGGAGAGATACTCTTTCGGGTGTGGTTTTTGTTCTGACTGTGCATTGTTTATGGACGTTGAGTACTGCAGGTCATTGTCGTGGTCACCCGATAGAGCGCACGAACGACGATCTTCTCGTAGCCGAAACTCGTCGAAACGCAAGAGCAGGTACTGTTTACTGTTGAGTAGGCCATGGTTTTGTCGCATGCTGATGGACATGATGGTTGCTGCTGTCACAGTCAACGCCTTCGTCGCTCTCCATCCAGCTCTTTGTCGGAATCCCAGCATGACTCAGGATCTTCTACCAGCTCGCCTTCACCTGCTTGCCGCCGCTCGATGAAGTCCAGCCGAAAGGCTTCCACTGCAAGCGGATCCGACAGCGAATAAAATCTGTTGTTGCCTGCCTGGACTCAAGATGAAGGCGAGTTGGACATAGGCACGAAGGCTTGCTGCGTCAGCGTCCCGAAATGTTCCAACGCTCTTTTCAACGGAAGCAAAAGAGACGGATGTTGGCAAAGAGAGAAAAGCACGGATGCTGACCAAAAGTCGAATGAAAATCTTCGTTGGGGGACTAAGGCTGACATGTTTGGAGCTGCAACAAGCTGGAGATAAAACGCAGCAATTGACGGCTCGTAAAGGTGGATTGGGTCCCAGATCTACGTTTTTGCCGCATAATCTACTTCGATGAATACTGCGAGGACGAATTTAGATTTTGTATGGGCACTTTAAATCCTCAGGCTTAAGAACCGGACGACGCGGTGCGAAACTCACACACAATGGATATTCTCTCTAAGGTGCGATCGGAAAGCCGGATAAAATGAGCTGGCGTAGCTGAAAGCTGTCGCAGTTTATTCTACGCTGCTGAGAAACGGGTATTTGCTCTTTCGTTGTGATTGAGATAAAATCGCACCACGATGTACATAGTGACAGCAAGGAACGCAATGTCGGCCATGATAAGTGACCCGAACATAATCAAGACCGGACCGATATGATGCTGAAAAAGAAACTGCGTACTGAGTTAGCAATTGCCAGAGCTACTTTACCAGACAGCGTCAGCACAAACGAATCAAAATCTTAACGCACTTTTCCTTTCTGACACAAACAAAAAAAAAAACGATCCACATCCTGCCAAACGACGGTCTATTTTTGACACTCGTACAATCTTATCAACACATCCCGTCCATTACCACGGTCAAAAACACCCGTGTCAAACTCGTGTGGTCCACTCCTTCCCGCCACTTTTCGCAACAGTCGCGCCACAAAACCTCAGCAGCTGCACCATGTCCGTGCTCTTCCCGCGCCGTCGCCTCACGGCGTCTCCATGGCGCCGCGCCGCTCCCTCTCATCGCCATCTCCTCCATCCCCATCTCAAGTCGGAGCTGCCAATCTGGCCGCGTCTAATACCGCACCAAGCGCTCGTAATCCACGCTCGCGCCCACGCTCTCGTCCGCGCCCACGTCGCGCGTGACGACTGGAGCCGCTCTAATACAACGAGACAGCGTGTTTTTCCGCGTCTATTGGCCACTTCAGAAGCTGTGCAAGACAAGAAGGAGTCGCTGCTGTCAAAACTGCGTCGTCTGCTGCGCGTGGCGCTGCATTTCGCTAAATTGGTGGGACTTGCACTGCCGCTGGCGTTCTTGGCTCCTGCTGCCTTTGCTGGGGGCAAGTTGGTGCCTGGATGGACCGCCCAATGGTGGACACTGGCTCTCTATCTCGCCCAGTTCTCGTCCCCTACGGTGATGAAGTTTCTGCAGTGGGCGAGTACTCGTCGGGATATGTTTCCTGCGTCCTTTTGTGACCGTTTCGAAGCTTTCCATGAACACGCGCCACTGCATTCGTGGCCACAGACAGAAGAAGCTTTGAACATGGCGTTCGGAGGAAAGTGGAAGGACGTGATGGAGGTGGACGAACACCCAATTGGCTCTGGCTGCATTGCCCAGGTCTATCGAGGTCGCATTAAAGCGACGAACGAAGAGGTGGCTGTGAAAGTGATCCATCCCCATGTGAAGGAATTAGTGGCCATGGATTTGCAACTGTTGCATGGATTTGTCACGATGCTGGAGATGATACCGACACTGCAGTGGCTCGGAGGGAAGGATAGTGTGACGGAGTTTGCCTCGCTCATGGAACGTCAATTGAACTTGCGTGTTGAAGGGGAGAACCTTGCGTTGTTCAGCGAACATTTCCGGAACCGAAAAGGCATTCGCTTCCCGGTACCGCTCATGGACTATACGACGGAAAATGTGCTGGTAGAGAGTTATGAAGACGGTGTGCATTTTAGTGAGATTCTGTCGCAAATGGAGCCACTGCGTCGGAAAGCAGTGGCACGGGTCGTTCTTGAAGCATATCTTCGGATGGTGTTCTTGGACAATTTCGCTCACGGAGATCTACACCCGGGCAACATTTTGTTTGAGGAGCAAAGTGCAGGAAGAAATGCCCATGTGTCACGCTCGGAAGCCATTCGGAATGCGGGTGTTGTGGTCATTGATGCTGGGATTGTGACGAAGCTCGAGCAACAAGATTTGCGTAATTTCGTTGAACTCTTTTACGCCGTAGCAACAGGGAATGGGTATAAAGCAGGCGAGCTCATCGTGTCTCGAAGCAAGGGGCGTAGCGTGGGACCAAACGGGGAGATGGTGCCAGCCACGTGCAAGGACCTCGAGTCGTTTTGCACAGGGATGGAGAAAATCGTACACGAAGCAGTGAGCTGGCGGCTCAACTTGAAGAATGTGCACGTCGGAGCTCTGCTTCGCCAAGTCATGGAGCTGTGTTGTACCCACGGAGTGCAACTCGAGGGCAAGTACGCGTCCATCGTGATTTCCATTGCAGTCCTGGAAGCAGTTGGCAGGAAGCTGGACCCGGACATCGACATATTGGCCGTCGCGCTTCCGATTATTACGCAGTCACTCGTGAAGAACGTACTGAGTTGACCCGGTGACTTACTGCCGTGTTCTGGATCGCAAGGACCGGCCAAACCAGGCTGAGCAAACGGCTGGCGCACGAGTCGTGACCAGCCAAAGCTACCACAGTGAAGAAAGCTCATTCATAGCAACAAGATTAATGCGAGTGGAGAGAGAGAAGGTGACAAGGCGCGTATCATAGTCAAGTGCACGTCAACATCGACGATAAAAAAATACTAAATGCCATTCACTTCTCGTGTGGTCGTCTAGCAAAAGCTACCGTTCAACAAGCGTAGCGATAGGTGCCCTGTAAGTCAGTGACTGTGCTCGAGTTGTGCCAGTCGATTCTGCACCATTCACATCTACTCCGTCCAGTGTCGTGATCAAGCAAAGACCGGGCATGCAAATCGTCACTTTTGAATTCGCACCGACATGACTCAGTCGTTAGATGCCGCTTTGCAGCTCTTCACTGTTACGCAGGAAGACAGCACGTCACCCACTTATGTCGCAGAGTCGACCGTCCAGCCGGTCGTGGCTCTCTTCGCATCCGACTGCAAGCACCCGAACCGCGAGCTGCAAAAGCTCCTGATGCCATTGATGTTCTTGTTCCGCAACCGCCACGACATTGTCCGTCCGTGTACTTTCAGCAACAACCGAGAGAGCAGACACTAACAGCTGCATGTGCTATGACAGACGCTCGTACACTCACCTTCAAGTGCCAGTGCAAGTCCAAGTCTCGCCGTGTTCAAGCACGGCCAGAAAGTCGTCACGGTCACAACCGACGGTGGTGAACTCAAGGACCGCGTCCACATAGTGGTGGCCGCGATCGGCTGGAGTCCCGACTGTCCCGACGAGACGCAGCTGCCCAATTGCCTCCACCCCATCAACGCCGAACAAATCCTGAGTGACGTCAAAGCCTTCACCATTGCGGCCGGTCAACGTGACTACGTGGCCAATGCAGCCAACGTCTCGTCCATCATCTGGCACGCGTTCAAGGAGGCGGGACGGCCGATCAACTGGTCGGGTTTCTACTTTGTTCGGCCGCTCGCTACGCCCGAAACAACGAGCGGCCACGATCACATCCTCGTCCTGGGACCGTTCATGGGCAAACCGGCCTGCAGTCGCATTCGCTTCCAGAGCGGCGTCTGTGGCGCAGCCTGGCGAAGCAAATCCGTCCAGCGCATCGCAGACGTCCGCCTCTTCCACGGCCACATCGCGTGTGATGGAGACTCCCAGTCCGAGCTCGTGGTGCCCATTGTAAACGAGCTCGACGACGCGGTCGTTGCAGTCGTGGACCTCGACTGTCCAGTCCCTAACGGATTCTCCGCCGAAGACGAGCGCACGGTCGGTCAAGTGGCGCGACTCCTGGCCGACGCCTGTGACTGGACCAACCTCCAGCTGCCGTTCACGACGCAATCATAGCCACACACACACAGAGAGAGAGAGAGAGGGAGAGGGAGAGGGCATCAACTCGATCCTCAAGTCGCTCGTAGCATCTCGGCCTCCTACTCCGCGTCCATTCATTTAATTGCACTTTTTTCGGCACCGGTTCCATTTACAGCAGCTTGATAAAACAAGTGCTTTTGCTGCTCCCTTTTTGCGTCCACGTCTCGCACGACCGCCTCGACGGATGTGACACGTTTTCTCGGACACTCGAACCTCGCGTCATCATCGATCAAGTCAAGTCAGTCAGTCCAGCGTAGCTCTTCAATATCAAAAGCTCCGGCCTCACTTGTGAAAAACGGGTGCGATCCCCATGTCGAATCGTCGCCACGTGCCCCACGCTGCTGCGGGACGCACATTGTCCTGGCCAGACAACAACAACGTCCCATGTCTGCAGACGGTTCGTGGCATTTGCATGCGACGCGTGCTCCTCTGGTCGCTCTTTGGGCTCTGGGTCTTTGGCATCAGCGCGTACGTCGCCATGTGGACCTACTCGCTCCTAAGTGGCATTGCCTGGGTCGTCACTGGTGGGCGCGCGCTGCTGCCAAGGACTGTCGCAGTGTATCTCGTGTTTACCATCGCATACGAGAGCTACCATTACGTCACGCGCGACTCGTCGCATGAGTGGCCCCGGATGCGGCATTTGGCTCGATCGATTCTGCTGCGTTACCCGTACTTTCGACTCAATGTGACAGTCTTTGAGGAGCGCGAGCTCGCGAAGCAGGGACAGGTGAAGAGGAGCTCAATGAAGGATGAAGATGATGAGGAAGATGAGGAAGATTCTCGTGCTGGAAGCCACTTGACTGCAGCAGCAGCAGCTCGAGCGATTGAAGAGAACGACTTGGTGCCATGTGTGGAACCCAATGGCAAGAAGTTGTTTGCCTACCATCCGCATGGAGTGCTCACGTGCGGCTTTGCGTTCAATGGCGCGTACCACATGACGTTTGAACGCTCGGCGTGTCGATGGCTCTCAGCCGACAATTTGTTCTGGTTCCCGCTGATCCGGGACATTCTGAACTGGATGGAGTTCAGCAGCTGTGCGAAAGCGAGTATGCGCAAGTTCATGCGCAAGGGGCAGAACGTCTGCATCATTCCAGGCGGCTTTGAGGAAGCGACGCTGTTTGAGAGAGGCAAACATCGCTTGTTTCTCAAGCACCGCTTTGGGTTTATCAAACTGGCATTGCAGCACGGCTACGAGGTGCACCCGGTGTACACTTTTGGCGAGGAGTACACGTTCCATACGTTCCCGTACTTGCTGCAGTTACGGCTGCAGTTGAATCGCTGGCGAATCCCTGGCATCCTTTTCTTTGGGGATGCCATGTGCTTTTACCTTCCACGCAACGATGTGGACCTGATCACTGTGGTCGGGAAACCGCTTCGGTTCCCACGAATCGAGCACCCGACGCAGGAAGAAGTGCGCGAGTACCAACTGCAGTACGTACAGGCGGTAAAGGACCTATTTAACGCCTACAAAGGTGTCTATGCTGTCGACCCGACAGCTACATTGGAGATCTTCTAGAAGCGATGGGTACAACGTGATTGGAACGTAAGGACAAGCTCAGCACGGAAGCTCGTCACGCATTGAGCATCTATGACAAAGCTTAGGAACGTTCCCGCAGCATCTATCGATTCTATGGAGGAGCACACACGACGATGACTAGAGCAGATTGGAACCAGGTAGATAATCTACTGATCAATCACTATCACCTTCCGGCCCCTCGTCGTCGTCTTCACTGTTGTCACTACTCTCGTCACCGTCTTCCTCTTCGCTGATTTCCAGACCTTCGTAAGCTTCCTCTTCCTCGTCGTCCTCGTCGTCTTCATCAAAATCCATGTCTTCTTCGTCTGCCTTCTGCTTCTTTCGTGCAGGTTCATCAGCAGCAGCTGGCATATCTTTCAAGCCATCCGCACAGAACAAGACACAGTTCAGACGCTGCTTGGCATAGATCACGTGGCGGCGTTTTCGCGTATTGACATCAAACACGTGCACCATGCGATCGAGTCCTACCGCCGCAATGTACGGCAGCGTCGGGTGGCACGATATGTCTCGAATGGAGCCGATTGGACCCGTGCATCGTCCCATGTGCTTCAGTGTCCGCACGTCCAAGATATCCAAGTTTCCTGCCGTGTCACCTACGTAAATCCGCGTCTCGTCCGGCGACACACACAGCGACTGGATCGGGTGCTCGCCAAACTTTTCCAGCTGCTGCACTGGTCGCCTCTTCGTGTTCGAGTCGTAGATCCTGACACATTGGTAGCCCGAGCCGACCACCACGCGGTATCCATTACTCGAACCAGGTGTCGACAAGAACCTCAGATCTTTCACCCACACTGGCACCCTCATGTCGAGCTTGTTGTGGCTCACGTTCTTAGCTTTGAACAAAACTTGCTGCGTCTCGAGCGACCACAGATTCAAGTCGTGCTCCTTGCCGCCCACGCCAATGACCGTCTGCAAAGCAGGCTCCAGTCGCATGACGTTCAACGCCTTACCCACGCTAAACTGTGTCCGTTCAGCAGCAGCCTGTGTCGTATCCTGCAACATCCGCCGCACTACCACGTCGCCAGTATCCGAGCACTGGACCACGGACCCACACGTACGTATCACCTCTACTCCTACACACCGCGTCTTATCCTGTTCCTTATCCTGCATGGGCCAGGACCACTCTGGCTCTCTCGATACGTTCAGAATCGCGCCATGTGACGCCTCGTAGCTCTCCACCCACCCGTTGGCTCGAGCCAGCACCACGTTCTGCTGCTCGGTTACGGCTTGTTGCTCGTTTGCGGACCAGCAGAGACGCTGAATGCCTCGAGCACGAGCTTGTGGCTGCTCTCGGGTGGAGACAATGTACTGCTCGCTCTTCTCGAGCTCAATGGACTTGAGCAACCCGGTTTCGTCCCCTATGACGACGCGCATGGCGTCACGTGACTGTCTCTTCAGTATTGGCATGATACGCGTGACACGACTGGAGGGCAGGACGAGAATATGATTGGTGGAATATGGGACGACGCGGTACAAAAACGAGGCGAGGCCAGCGGCTCCATGTTGCAGCTTGAGGGGCGGATGAACGGATACAAGAGACTCGACTTGACGCATATTTTCAAAAATTCGCTCGACGCAGAAGTTCTACCGGATAAATGACTCGAACGAGTTGAAATCGTAGCGAGTTGTACCAGGAAAGATGCTTAGTTGATGCGAGCAAGTTAGTTGTTCGATGGACTTTGGTCCTGGTTAAGTTTTTTGCGTCGCGTAAGCTCGTTTTAGAGGTACTGCAGTGCGCATGCCCTGCCATGTTGGGCCAACACTCGTATCAGAGTTTGTAGCTAGTCCTTCTTGACGTTAACTGCCATCAATCAAACTTGCACATGGGTCGGTGGCGACACAAAGCTGGACACAATTTGACGTGCAAGGCCGAGGGTTTGAATCGTGATGTGCTTGTTAAGTCGGCTGCTACCTGACTTATCGACCGCGTAGAGAGGCCCGCGACAGCATCACAGGAAAGATGAAAGGTCTGGGCCTGGAGTCTGTGAAACAAGTAACTCGCAGCAGAGCTCTCGTGCTGGCAGCGCAGCCGCAACTTCATGGGTTTCCGTGGTGCCTTCCTCCGACAGTCAACGACATTTGCGCCTATGCAGCATTAAAGCACCAGCCCTTTCGACAAGCGAAACGACATTTGACCCCAGCTCTCTCAGCGGCGACGAAGGCGCAGATATGGGCGTGTCGTCATCTCCTCACTGAGTACTTAGTATCAGTCTGCTACAAGATAGCTCTAGTGAGGACAAATAACGTCATATCGGTTTGGTTCTCGCTCATCTCCTACTTGGGTATCGAAAAATCGCTCTCGACCGCCACCGTGTTGGCGAAAATGGGTACCAGGCTGCCACTGAAGGCGTAAAAACAAGCTGGAATCACTTGCAGTTCACTAGCATCGTGGTCATGCAGCCAACGTTGGACTGGTGCATTAAAATTTAGCACGGAGAACTCGGTAGGTGGTGAGCTGAAGCAGAGCAAGCGATGATGTCCGTTTTTCAGCCGAAGACTTCATGGATTTGTCAACACCGATCTGGAAAACATGCAGAATCTACACAGCAGGGAACACTTTCATCTTTAAATCCAGTGGTGCTTTACGCCATCAGTCAATTGGGGCACCATCCTACATACTTCGTCAAGATGCCAGGCGTAGTCTTTGCACGAGCTATGATAGTCAACCGCTATTCGTATATGGGCTGAGACAACGTTAACGACTCGTTGGATCTGGATCCATTGCGACGGTCAAATTGGATACTCGCATCGGTGATGCAGTGATGTGAGCTCGTTGACGACAGTTGCCATGTGGATGGCCGAGTCTGTCCTATTGTTCAGTAAGAAGACTTCCTGAAGACTTTCCGAGAATAAATCGCATGCTGTGCGTATCGAGGCCGAACTAGAGATGAATCAAAGTTGAATCTTCTGAGGACAGCAAGAACGATTGACGATATCAGTGTCTCTCGAATGCAAGCGATTACGAACGTTTAGCTGTCTCCTGCAACTCCTTTGGTGCATCATCATGAACCCACACGTGAGTGGCCGGGATTCCCAGTCCTCACAATTGCATGCTTTGTGTGCCGTGAGTGCCTTCACGAAAGCGGGGGCGATGGTGTACTTCGACTCATCGATCCCTTTCTGGATACAATGTCTGGTACACTAACATTGTCAAAGGGGTACAAGTGCTCGGGCGGAAGTCTGCGTTTGCTTCAATACTTGGCTGTCCATGAGTCAAAAACAATGGACATGTTCCTACGTCGCTGGGAAGTCAACGTCGTAACGGGTCAAATGGCAGCACGTGGTGATTTACAGAGTCTGAAGTGGACCACGGAGAGTTATTTGCCAGGTGAGTTCTTAACGGAAGTTGTCGCTCAAGCCTCTGCAAATGGACACGTTGACATTTTGCAGTGGATGTGGGAGAACCATCATGAAGTGGGCTACTGGGGTGGAATTGAGTTGTGCGGAGCGATCAGAAATTGTCATTTTCGGATGGTTGAGTGGCTCCAGACTCACGTCGCTTTTCGGCTTGAGTGTGCCCAGCACGTTATCGAACAAGCGGCAGCGTCTGGAAGTTTGAAGATTGTCAAGTGGCTGTACGAGAGCTTTGGTGTTGCTCTTGATGATGCAGCGAAGATAGCAGCGCTCAACTGCGAGTGGAAGGTCATTCGATGGATCTTGGGTCATGGCAAGCGAGCTGATCTGAATGCCGCATTTCGTTGTGATGATATCTATGTGAGTGCAGCAAAGAGCGGCAACATAGACACGCTTGAGCTTCTGTCTGAGCATGGCTTTCCGGGAGATCCCATGGTTATACTAGATAACGCGATTTCAGGAGGTCACTTGCACATTGTCAAGTGGCTGTACGAAGAGAAGGGGGTGACAGATGTTGGCGTTGGATTCATCAATGCTGCCAGAATGGGTCATTTGGAGATACTGAAGTACTTGTCAGATGAAAGACCACATTCGTGGCTGATTGTACTGCTATTGACGCTGCTGCTGCCACTAGATATCTTGAAGTGGTGCAGTGACTTCGATTTCACATGTACGAAACAAGCTATGGACGCAGCCGCGAGAGGGCGGGCACCGTGCATGTAATCGAGTGGCTCCACAGAAACCGCACGGAAGGACGAAGAGACTTTGCACTGGAGCATACTGCAAAAAGAGGCCACCGCGATGTAGGCAAGTGGCTCATGTAAACCGTACGGAAGTGGGTAGCCAGCTGACGCTTGCACGGACCGCAGAGCACGAGCAGTTGGACACCATAGCATGATTTCATGAAATACAGCCAAGATGACTTTGATCCTGAAGCAGTAATGGATAGTGTAGCATGCAGCGGAAACGTAGAACTTCTGCAATGGTTGCACGGGCATCGCATCGGAGGATGCACTCGAGCGACTACGGATATAGCTGCTACCAGCAGCCATCTCAGCACAGTGAAGTGGGTTCATGACGACAGCTTCGAGGAATGTTCACAGCGCGCAATGGACGAGGCTGCGACGAATGGACATCTAGAAGTGGCAGAGTGGCTACACGCAAATCGATACAAAGGTCGTAGAGCGGAGGCGACTGATAGTGCAGCTGAAAACAATCAGATCGAAGCTGTGAAATAGATTCACCGTCATCGCTCACAACGGTGCACGCACAGGGCTATGGAACAGCTATTTTACACGACACGGTGCCTTGAGACAGCAGTTTACCTCTTTTCGAAATTTCCGGAATGCCGGACATTCCATTTGGGCCCAGAGTGTGAGTTTTGCTTGGCTCGAAGTTATTCAGTGGCTCCTTGAGCGTGCTCCTGGCGCGTTGGAAGCGTGTTCACTACGAGTCAGGTCATAGAATTGGCATCTCGGTAACTTCCTTGAGGACAATGACTTGGAAGAAGACCGGGGAAGAGGTCGGATGGTATACAATATGGGATCAGGTGTGATATTGCACAGCATGTGCGGGTCATTTGTATCCTCCGTAGCCGATTCGCCTCGCCTAAGCACGCGGGTTAGCACATTTATACGAGCCTGAGTAAGCGCAATTGACACGGTGATGGAAAAGTAGCACTGATCTCAAGTCAAAATAATCGTTTGATGTAATGCGGGCACACTAGGATGCGCAAACAGCTCGTGTGCCTCTTCGTTCGAATGACTCCCCGATATTGACAACGGCTGAAGTGAATATCGATCAGCAAGACTAAGAAAGCTGCAGCAGCGTGTTGCGAATAGGTCTGTACCAACGTGTATGATATCGGTAAACTCATCTCCGATGGCTATGATGCTTCCGAGACATCGTCTCTCTCGTGAGGTTGGACGCCTCTGCGGACTAGCCTCTCGGTTGGACGATGATGTCAGTGCAAGTTCGTACAACACATTGACAACATGCGCTAGCGGGTAATACAGACGTACACGAGTTGCCCTTATGCGGTCATATCCGTGCGTACTACATGAAGTAGTGGGGATGTTGGATATGCAGAATGTTACTGTAAACATGTCAAGTAGACTTCGTGCCTTCACGCAAGAACAACCGTCGACACTCATCTTCTAAGCCCATTCGACACCGCGCAATTTCTCCCTCGGATGCAACTTGGGTTGAATATATTCAAATGTGTTGGGTTCTTTCTAGATCTCTTGGAGACCCTGTTGTCACTAATTTGTCCTTAGACTTTGCCAATCTTCTGCCGCAAGGAGCCTCCTTCTTATCTCTCGATTGCGTGCGAATAAACCCTATCGAACTCAGCATTTAGGCGCGAGTTCGATACCACGGGATATGCCGGCGAAAGCTGTGCGAAGCTCTCAGTAGAATGGGGTGTCTTCTCAGTGCCCATGGCGATATTAACTAAGGCATCTGTCATTCTTGGTATAATGGCATAGATCATGTGCTCAATCCGCTGTCTGTAGCTTGTCAGCAGCATTGCAGTATTCTTTGTAGACTTCACATGAGTGTGGTCATCTAGGCGACGGTCTTCGGATCATGTGTAAAGCGATGACTTTGCTATCTACAGCGATATGTAGTCCGCAAAGCTCTGGGCCGCATACGTAACGCTTACAATCCAGTGAATCGGATGGCTGTCTTTCGCACCGTATGCATAACCGCTTTGACACATCCATTTCGTACAGGTGCACACGTCTGTGAAGCCTCTCTTAAGCCGTGTAAATTAATCATCGCTTGATTCGTAAAGCGATTGAAATAGTGAATGCGTGGTGGAGAAAGCATACTGAAAATTGCGTACACGAGCCGCGCCTTTTTTGAGCGGTAGCAATATACGTAGTGGAACGATACCTTCTAAAATATAGGATAACGATTGTCTCACTACTTATCGCACTACTCTCCCCCTTCGTTCCACCTCTAGAAGTTTTGGCATCAAAGACTACACCTTGTGACTTCGATCTCGCGCTTGAATCCATGTTACTGACGTCTTCGCAGACCCTGAGTTTCTGTGTAAGTTCTATTCGTTTTCATAATCTGCATTCAATCAAGAACATATTTACGGGGGAGCTGCTGTACTCGGGAAAAACACGTCGGGAGTATCCTTGCAACCTAAAGGAATGACGACTTTACTGCATCCTTATGAACAAGGAGTCATTTGCTTCAGGCCACACGGGAGGTCTTCCTACGTGAAAGGTGTGAGGTCTTACGATTCCGTGACACGGGAGGCACGTCTAAGTTTGGTCAACATGGGGTTAAAGAGAAGACAAGAACAACAGGGAGAGCATCAAGCAGACAACAACGATATCAATCCGCAAGTTCTTTTGACACAGGATAACTATCAGTTCCTAAATTCCCAGTCAGCTTGACTCCGCATGTTTAACGAACACAACACCATCCTAAAGATAGGAAAGTGACTGACTTTGACATCATTGTGAAGACTTTGGAACCACGAGGCTTTTGCTAGACTTAATCTGAAAAGTAACGAGTTACCAGTTGTAAGTCTGTCTATCCCAAAATAGACATTACAAAGATCGGAATAGTCGATTTGAAACCTCTTGTTCAATTGTTGTACTGCATTACGAGGATTTCTTCGTAAATCTATGAAACGATGTTGGCGGTGGTACGGTTAAGAACTCGTAGCTCAGTCAGTTCAACTGCGCTCCACGTATCCTGTGATGTACGTAAGCGGCGATGAATTGAGACTAGCCTTGCGCTTGTCCTCTGCGGTGTACAATATCTGCCTGACGTCGTTTATGCGATCAAATATTGTACGGGACTTGTGTGACCCCTTCTTTGTTAGCAAACCTTGCCACAATGATTCTCGAGTACACGTGCAATTCACTCTGCGACATTGCCATTACGCTTGAATCAGAAAACTGAGCCAGACACGGCGTGCAGGGATACGTGCAAACAGATTCTAAAGTCGTGCAGCACTATTACGGACTAGCATGTGTTGCGCTGAAGCATACGCTATCCAACCAGTGTCGACGAAAATCCAGGCGAACCAGGTGCATCACAAGACAACGCGTACGACCTGTAATCGAACACCATCGTCAGCAACAGTATGTGCACCCCTTTCGGGTGTGCATGGTCTTTAGGTACGACTGGGGCTTGTGATGAGCAGCCGAAACGATGACTGACCTTATACTCAGTACGTGTTTAAAAAGGTACAACAATATTGCCACCTTCAACGGAATGCAATTGTGCGCAATGTACGAAAACCAGTGAACTTGACGACAACTGACGTGACTAGTCTCCAGCACTTTGATGCCAACTGAGACGTCTTCCAAAATCATTCGACACCTTCGGTTATCACAACTTCACTTACAAAGGCTCACTGTGACAAAACTGGAACCTGTTTGGTCCTGATGCCAGTAGCGCGATCAATGGGCATTATCAACAGCACGAGCGTCCGTTCACAGCCGACTAAAAGTGCACCGTTTGCAATAGATGACGCAGACCTCTCGCCTCGCTTTCCCCCTGTCCCGTCGTCACGAGCTCGCGCGACTCGTCTCCTCCAATCAGATCTCGACTCGGCCATCGATGAGCCAATCCCGGATTGCAATCTTTGAGCGGTGGCACCTTTGCCCGCTTCCCCTCGCCAGTCGCCGGCATCCACTTACCAAAAGCGCTCGTCAGTTTCCAATTTGCCTCCTCAAGCGCAAACCTCCGCTTCCGGTTCAATTCTCCCAATCGCCGTCATGAGTCACGCCGTCCCCAAGTACATTGACGAGCACCACGGGTTTGGCACCACCGCCATTCACGCAGGTCAGGACCCAGACGAGCACACGGGTGCCGTTGCTGTACCCATTACCCTGGCCAGCACCTTTGCCCAGTCCTCTCCAGGCATTGTAACTGGTCGAGGGCAGGCCAACTCCTTCGGTAAAGGTTGGGAGTACTCACGCACGGGTAACCCAACGCGTGGGGCCCTCGAGCGGGCCCTTGCAGCTTGTGAAAAGGGCCGCTTTGCTGTCTGTTACTCGTCCGGCATGGCTGCAACCACAGCCGTGACGCACCTGCTCAAGCACGGGGACCACGTGCTGTGTATTGACGACGTGTACGGCGGCACGCAGCGGTACTTTCGTCAGACGGTGCAGCCCACGTACGGCATCGACTTTGACTTTACGGACCTGAGTGACTTGAGTCACGTGCAGACGTTGCTTCGACCGGGCAAGACAAAGCTCTTGTGGGTCGAGAGCCCGACGAATCCGACCCTGAAGATCACGGATCTTCGAGCTGTTGCATCGTTTGCGAAAGCGAACGAGCTGCTGCTGGTTGTCGATAATACCTTCATGTCGCCATACTTTCAGAACCCGCTAACGTTAGGTGCCGACCTCGTCGTGCACAGTATCACAAAGTACATTAATGGACACAGTGACGTCGTTGGTGGCGTCGTTGTGACGAACTCGGAGGAGCTGAATGACAAGCTACGCTTCATTCAGAACGGCATTGGGGCCGTGCCTGCCCCGTTTGATTGCTACATGGCCCTGCGTGGACTCAAGACGCTCCACGTGCGGATGGCTTCTCATGCCAAGAATGCACAAGCTGTTGCCGAGTACCTTGAAAGCCACTCGGAAGTTGAAAAAGTGTGCTACCCCGGGCTGCCGTCGCACCCGCAGCATGCAATTGCTAAGGCACAAGCTTCAGGATTTGGAGGCATGGTCACGTTCTACGTGCGCGGCGGTCTCGACAAAGCCCGTGCTTTTCTCGAGAACCTCCACGTGTTTACGTTGGCGGAGAGTCTCGGCGCTGTTGAGTCACTGGCCGAGTCTCCGGCTATTATGACCCATGCCTCGGTGCCTCCTGCTGTCCGTAAGGAACTTGGCATCTCCGATAACCTCATCCGTCTGTCCGTTGGGATCGAAGGTCTACCCGACATTATTGCGGATCTCGAGCGCGCCCTCGCCGCTGAGCCCAAGGCTTCGTCGTAGATTGACTGATGAAAGGACAGCGTGTATACACTCACTACTCCATACGTACCTCGCTGAAGCAGTTCAGCAATCCTTTAGCAGAGCTGGATCAACGATCTGGTAAACTGGCGTTTGGCCTTGTATGTCTATGCGGTGTGTGATCCCAGCGAAGTCGAAAGACGAGAAGGTGCACGATTACGTGTTCGCTCGTGTAATGCAATCGATGCGAGATGCTCTCTCGCCATCCATTCCACGCGCAGCGGCAGTATTTTGTACCACGAACAGAGTGCAGCTTGTTGTTGTCGTTGTAGCTCCATCGTTAGTATTGACCACGTCGTGGCCTCTCGTGTTAGCCCTTGGATCCAAGGAGTAGCAGCATCAAGATGAAATCCACTCAGCCATCATGTATCTGAATCTAAGCGTCAAATGAATGCTGTGGTACGCAGACGGCTACTGCACCAGTAAAGTTTCTTGCAAAGCGTTTGCTCGCATGCTTACGCGGAAACGTTAACTAGACATCGCTATTACCTTATCGTCTTTCTTTCGATTGCTCTTGCAGTGGCCACTGGCCCTCGAGAAAAAGAATGCAAATGACCCGCGCTAGTGAGCGATCCGCATGTCACACTGATCCCAAATTATGAACACTCCCTCTTTCCTCGTCTGCTTCCAGCCATTGTTTTTGAGATAGTTACAGAGGTGCCAATTCCATGACCTGACGCGTAGTGAACACGCTTCCAACGCGCCAGGAGCACGCTCAAGGAGCCACTGAATAACTTCGAGCCAAGCAAACTCACACTCGGGGCCCAAATGGAATGTCCGGCATTCCGGAAATTCCGAAAAGAGGTAAACTGCTGTCTCAAGGCACCTTGACCTTTTAAAAAGCCACACCATAGCCCTGTGCGTGCACCGTTGGGAGCGATGACGGTGAAGCCATCTCACCACTGCAATGTGATTGTTCCCAGCCGCTCTGTCAATAGCATCCGCCGAGCAACCTTCGTATCGATTTGCGTGTAGCCACTTAACCACGCCCAGATGTCCACGCATGGCAGCTCCATCCATTGCTCGCTTCGAACACCCCTCGATTCGGTTTTCATGGAGCCATTTCACAATCTCGAGGTCGCCATTGTACGCAGCTGCATCCATAGCCGCTGTAGTGCATCCTTCCGCGCGATTCACATGCAACCATTGCAAAACTCTCAAATGGCCATTCAAGGCTACTCTGTCCATTACTCCACTGAAATCAAAGCCCTCTCCGCGATTCTCATAAAGCCACGCAACCACTTCCAAATGCCCGTGCTCTGCGGCCCTTGCAATCGTTAGAGCGAAGCAGCCCTCGCTTCGGTTTGCATGGAGCCACTTGACTACATGGAGGTAGCCGTTCTCAGCTGCAAAGTGCATTGCAAGGCGGCTACATCCTTCCGTGCGGTTTCGGTGGAGCCACTGGACTATATGCAGGTGTCCCTCACTCGCAGCTCCGTCCATAGCTTGATTCGTGCACTTGGTAGGAGTGTTCGAGTGAAGCCACTGCACAACTTCAAGACACCCAGCGGCGGCTGCAGTATCGATAGCAGATACGGATGAACAAACGTCGAATTGTTTCTCATGCAAGTACTTCAGTATCTCCAAATGACCGTTTCTAGCAGCCTCGATGTATCCGTTGCCAACGTTCGAGGCCCCCTTCTTTTCGTGCAGCCACTTGACAATGTGCAAGTGACCTCCTGAAATCGCGTTATCTAGTATAACCATGGGATCTCCCGGAAAGCCATGATCAGACAGAAGCTCAAGCGTGTCTATGTTGCCGCTCTTTGCTGCACTCACATAGATGTCATCACAACGCAGTGCAGCATTCAGATCAGCTCGCTTGCCATGACCCAAGATCCATCGAATGACCTTCCACTCGCAGTTGAGCGCTGCTATCTTCGCTGCATCATCAAGAGCAACACCAAAGCTCTCGTACAGCCACTTGACAACCTTCAAGTTTCCAGACGCTGCCGCTTGTTTGATTACGTGCTGGGCACACTCAAGCCGAAAAGCGACGTGAGTCTGAAGCCACTCAACCATCCGAAAATGACGATTTCTGATCGCTCCGCACAACTCAATTCCACCCCAGTAGCCCACTTCATGATGGTTCTCCCACATCCACTGTAAAATGTCAACGTGTCCATTTGCAGAGGCTTGAGCGACAACTTCCGTTAAGAACTCACCTGGCAAATAACTCTCCGTGATCCACTTCAGACTCTGTAAATCGCCACGTGCTGCCATTTGACCCGTTACGACGTTGACTTCCCAGCGACGTAGGAACATGTCCATTGTTTTTGACTCATGGACAGCCAAGTATTGAAGCAGACGCAGACTTCCGCCCGAGCACGTGTACCCCTTTGACAATGTTAGTGTACCAGACATTGTATCCAGAAAGGAATCGATGAGTCGAAGTACACCATCGCCCCCGCTTTCGTGAAGACACTCACGGCACACAAAGCATGCAATTGTGAGGACTGGGAATCCTGACCACTCACTTGTGAGTTCATGACGGTGCACCGGAGGATCGGCAGGGAACGACTTAAGCTTTTTATTCTGACGCATTCGAAAATGTTGGGTACAAAGCTCTCCCTGTCCCTGAAAATTTGATGTTAGACTATTTCATTTATGCCTCGGACCCCTTCAACACAGCGTTCAGTAGTCTGGTCAGGAGATTCTTGCTTTCTTCCATAATTCGTGGCGCATGCTGGTCAGCTCAAGGTGTATGCCGCATCAATCTGCATTTCTAATAATCTTGCGCACATTCATGAGAACTAGGGTGAACAACTTAATGGTCCCGCACCGACCAATCTTTCGGTCACTATCCATGCATTTTCAATCGCCGAATCTCTTCGGATCAATGCTTTACGAGTTTGGCGTTCGCCAGCTCTATCGATGGGATACCTTCAACCTCACTATGATATGCTGATTGGGTTTACTGTAATGGACATTCTACAGGAACTAGATATGTACCATTAGCACCACAAAAAGGTACATCAAGATGTCGTCACGCGGCCACAGGCGAATACGGTACCTCTAAGTTCATTGCTGACTGATTCTCCTGTAATCTTCAATCTTTGGTAGGCTGAGTGATGCATGAGTGAATACCAGTATCAGGTGCCACTCTCCGGCCACACGTGAGCTCTTATCGCTCTATTGTAGCCTCTCGGTCAACTCTCATGACTTAAAAGGCACTTTGCTTGCGCGCGACCTCGGTAAGCTACATTTGGATGATACCTTGAACACCTACAACAACATCCAATAACATTGGATGCGGTGCGGTTATAGATCCTGAAGTGATATATTCCGATGCACCGAAAGCCCGTTTAATCTTATATCTTGGTGTGTGATGATACTAGCTATAGCATACGGAAAGCATGGCTCTAAGCCTACATGCTTTAGTCATACTTTATGTTTGCTCTTGCTAACAAGTGTTTAGGGAGGAACTCTGTGGAATGCCTCTAAATCAAATGTTGCTTCTATAGTGTTCCTCCGATCTAAAATCAGCATTGGGCTGACCAGTTTAATGCCCACGCAACATGTAACCTTGTTTTTCGTTTTATTTCATAACGTCATGTGTTTCATGCCGCAGTCAAAATTGCGTACATGATAGATTAGTGGCATTGCAAGAAGCTTTATTTATTCGTATATCCACACACTAGAAGCTAATAAATGACAGCATACTGCTCGCAATGCAAAACCTCATCTGTAACGATAAGTTTTATCACATGATATCCACCTGAGTGAGGATCGATGAGTAGCACGTGAGCGAGTTTTTTTTCAACGTGTGATGCAAAAACAAAGATATCGCAAGATGTGATGCATTGCGTTTTTCAAAGCAGATGTAATTTAGTTACCAGCAAATTTAAATCTATTTGAAGACACAATATACTGCGGGATTGATCCAGCATCGGCGTCGTAAATCAGAATCTTCCGTGAGCCCACCAATCAGACATGTGGACAAGTTTGACTGTCTGCGTCTCTTGAAGATAAAGAGGGACATGCAAAGTAGAATAGCAAGGGTGATGGCATAAAGAGAGCAGTGCATAAGTAAATTGGGCAGGGGGAGGAATTGCAGATTATCAATAGGGTTTCAAAGACGACGGGATGTACGTGGCTTGAACATAGTTTTTACTGTTGCTACTGCACATGTTCAGTTCCAGAAATGTTAACCTGTGCCGTGATGAGGCGGGTTTACAGCCGATTCGGCTAAGGCTATAGAAGAAGAACTTAAGGCCTCTTCAGGAATGCTGGCTGATACAGAAAAGCTTAACTATGGCCCAACGACACGTCCTATTGACATTCGGGAAGATCAGCGTACACAGTTAGCACTCCTGTCCACGTTGGCCAATTTTCGCACTCAGGGTACTCAAGATCAGGCTTTACACGTAACAAAAGTGCACAAGGTTTCGGGCACCTTATCTGCTGCGTTAAATCTGCAGCGAGTCCGGAGAGTAAGCACCAAATTCCTACTATCACATCTACGTTTCAAAAATGGGTCACTGAGCACAAAATGGTGGTTGCATGACTAGCTAAAATTCCTGTTGGTCCCAATGAAAAATCCCTATGAACAAGAACATTTGCGTAACTGGCGGCTCTAGTCCGTTGCCGTAACTAGCTGCTTCCATCGCTTCGAAGCTGAGAAAAATCCTGCATTATTTTGGATAAGCCATTAAAAACAAGTATCAACTGGCTAGGATCCGTCAACACACCACACACGCAGGTATGGTCTTCGCGGCTTGTGCTCGGGATGAGCCCCGACGGCGGACGGGCAAACTGGTTCAATCATCTGGAAATGTCCGACTATATTTAATGCTGGAGACTTTTCGGTAAACTCCAGCCCGAATTGCTGTGTGGAAACAACCGACATTTGAGCTTATTGCCCGGGATGGCCAATGACTGAAATTTTAGTTTTGAGGACATTCGGATGCGCTAGGGGTCGGCACGCCACGGAGTACGGTTAAACGGCCGCATTTTCATATTATACATCTCGACCACGTACGTTTTACGCGACTGAGATCTCTACAGCTTAACTGTAAACGGCAGGCATTCCCCGACTTCGTCGTAGCCTTATGGTAAACACTTCCCAGTGGCCACGCGAAGACGGCATCTGGCTCCATTCGAAAACGTATTGGGACTCCTCTAGCATCCTGACGCTGCGAGCGACTGTGAAAAGCTGTACAGCTCCACATGAGGATTTGTCACGAAACCGGGATGATCGCTGTGGAAGAGTCCGCGATTTCTCGCGGGGAAGTGGCTTTTTATTGGTCCCGAACTCCGTATTTACTGAACTGGTTCCGTGGCAAGATGAACATCGGACAACTTACTGGACGGATGTTTAAATAACTGTTTTGAATTAGCCCGTTCTTATTGTTAATGGTTATGCCCCAAGTATTAGTGCTGAGAGTGAGGCGTTGTTTGAGAGGATTTAACAGCGCCTAATAGTACATGGGTACGAAAGTCCCATGTCTATCGGAAAGGACTTCAACTGCACTGTTTTGTCGTGCCTTGACCGTTCTTTGTATCTCCACCAGGTAGGCATGATCCTATGACGCTGATACGGCTTATCAATTTTCGTGAAAATAGCACGGAGCTAACGGAAATTAACAGAGCCACACCTGATTTTGTTGCAGCTTCTCCATATAATGTGTGTACTCTCCCGGCTGTCTGTCGGAGAGCTCACGGCTTGATTGGTGGTACGTGAATTAATTTACAAGTTGAGATCAGGGACGTAAATTAGTCTGTACCTGGCCTAGCTGTAGAGTAGTTGGAGGCAAAAGCCGTAGTAAATTTTTTAAGGTCCTTAGTTCACTACCATGAGCTATCTCTAAGCCTTTATGTAATGCTGTTGGATAGCAATTCTCTAAAACCACCATGAAAATCCAGCATGATTTATCTCATAAACCATCATCTTAGCAACATGAAACATACCTGTTCAGTATTGTAATATCAACACTAGCAGCTGAACACAACAGGATGATTATCAGTATTGGGGTGACGCTTCACATTTTGAGTGTACGTAAGCTGACGAGTGTACCTTTTTTCAGAGGAGTGCACAAACGACCGCTCCGAGCCAAACTATTGCGGCCATAAAAGTAGCACAGCGGCAAGTAAAAAACAAATGTTTAGCACCCCGACCAAACTCACAGCCCGAAATTACTTGATCGCTTGGATAGATAATAGGTCAGGCTCCTTTAAAGTATGTTTGGCGACTATAAGAAAAACTCGACAAGGTCTGATGAGAAGCAATAAAGGATATTTCCAATGTGCTCGTGCCTGTTCTCGCTGAATTCTACACCAAACGCTTATAGCGCAGCGTAATAATGTTGTCGTTAGGCAAATCTGAATAAAAATATCAAAATTAAAATTTAGCATCCCCTATGCAGATTTAAAATCGCCCGGTCGGGCAGCTCAATTGCGACTACAAATAATTTACCGGGATCATCTCGTTGTAAGAGCGACCAATGCTGTCGCATGATGTTCTGCCAGAACAATTTTGTTTTCTCACAGTGGTTTACAAACAGCTCTTGACGTTTTAACATAGGTACGTAAGTGAGCGACATTGAACAGCGATCTACATAGAGCCACCGTTCTGCTTCTCAATTTGCTATGGCGTACCGGACGTTGCAACGTCCATCATATCTATGTGCGTCTCAAAAAAGTTTGGCTTATCTTCCTTACTTCGTAAAAGTAGTGGCTGCATTACCATGCAACACGACGTGCTGATTTGATTGGAATCAGTTCCTCATCCGTCATCTAAAGCTAACTATGGAATTGCAAGAGTTTCCCCTGTCATTGTTTCTCTTTATTCTTGCTATCGATATTTGTATCGCTTAATCCGAATGAGGGAAGACATGCGCAAGGTACATCTTACGGCTCTGGGACAGACTACTTAAATTACGTTTTAGGGATACGATGATGATACTGCTGTATACCTATACGGTGGGGCCTGCGTTTGCGCAGTTTTTTTTCTTGATGATTTCATATGCGTTTCGAGTCTCCCGGGAATCGGGTGAAATCAATGGTCATTGAGCTGGACCCTCGCGGATCTGATTTTCTATTTTTTTTACTACAACAGGATGCGGTGGCTGACAACAGGAAAAAGTGCATATGTTCTCTATTCAGCCGGCTTGTATGCCAGTGCTACTGCGGTGCCAATAATCTTATCATGGCACTGTTGACCTTCTTTCGTCGTGCTTATCCGGTTGCACCGCATAATTGTGGACTTTTAATGGGGCTTCCGCGACGACAAAAGGTTCCGACTTGGTTACCTATCGATATGGCTGCACTAACGATACGAAAAAGTGGACCAGTGGTGTAATGTAATCAGAAAGAACTTATAACTATGGCTGTGACAGCAGTCGGACAGTAGGCAGCTACTGATTCTTCGAAAAATTTACTGATTGATGACTTATTATGGAGCATTGGTCCGGTCCGCCTTTAATCATTCCTTGTTAAACAGAAAACAATCACCCTATATCTCGCGCGACTTTACAGTTAACCGGTTCCGATAATTGGTGGTGTTCAAGCAGCTAGACATGATCGACTTAGTGAGTTTAAGGACG